ATAAAAGCTGGCGTACGCCTACTCCTCCAGCTGCTGTCGCAGAGGCTGTCTGGCAGGCTCCGTACCCAAGCAACGTACGCGAGCTTGAAGCCCCAATCAACGCTAATACGTGACCGGGTTCAGCGGCATAAGAGTTCATCACCCAGCGTCAATTATTGCGGCAATTGGCCAGCTTAAGAAGGGGGCAGAGATAATGATGCTCTCGGCTGAGCTAATGCGCGATCGGCTCGCCAGCCTTGAGAGGGCTAATGAGGCAGCAACAAAGCGTAGGCAGCGTAAGAAAAAGCGGATACAGAAGCGAGGAGTACTTACAAAGGGAGCTGGAGAGGATCTACTCGCTCAGCGCGAGGCTGATCAGCAGATTGCTCATGAAGAGCGTCAGAGAGGAGAGCGATCAGGTGTTAGCCGCCAGGCTTTGGCGCGCTGTAGTAGGTGCAGAGAGACTGGCCATAACTCGCGTACGTGCAAGAAAGATACTCTAGGTACTGCTTAATCTATTATGTTAATATGTAGTAAAACAACTATATTGTGGTGGAACTACAGGCTTATAGAGGTGCGCAGGTTTGGTGGGGTGCGGCGCTCGCTTGCCTGCGGCGCTCGCTTGCCACATACGTTATATATATCATTCAACATCGTTATTTTCCAACTTCATACATATATATATATATATATTTCTACTTGATCTTGTCATATGATACTCGACAGGATTCTCGCACAATGTAAGTACTTTGTTTATTTATTTATTTATTTTCCAAAATACAAACGGACTATGTTAATGGGTGTCAAGAACCGTGTCTCCACAGCGCATCCGCCATCTTAGCCACCTGCGCCATGGCCTTCACGTCGTGCACACGCACGATATCCGCACCTCCCTGTATCGCAGCCGAGACCGCCACCGCAGTCCCCCATACACGTTCCTGCGCATCCTTCACACCCGTGACATGACCTATAAACGCCTTGCGGCTCGTCCCCACCAGCCAGGGTAACCGCTCTAACCCGGGGTACGACGCGAGTTCGCACTGGCGGCGCAGTAAGTCGAGATTATGGTCTCGCGTCTTTGCAAAGCCAATGCCCGGATCGAGCATGATGCGCCAGCGGCGCACGCCCGCGTTCTGCGCTGCGCGGAGACAATCGCGCAGCTCGCGCCCGACTGTTTCCACGATGCCATCTGGATACGACGTCAGCGCTGGCGTCGTCATGGTCGTTGGCGTGCCCCGCATGTGCATCAGACACACTGTACATCCTAGTTTCGCCATGGTGCCCAGCATAGCGTCGTCCATTGCGCCGGCGCTCACATCGTTGATCATGTTCGCGCCTGCGGCTATGGCTTGTTCTGCTACACTCGCACGGTACGTATCCACGCTTATAGCGATGCCGTGGGCTTGCGGTATCGAGCGGATGAGTTTGATGGCGGGGAGAACGCGCGCGAGTTCCTCTTCCTCGCTGACTTCTCGCGCGCCGGGCCGCGTCGATTGCCCGCCTACGTCGATGATGGTGGCGCCTGCGTCAATGTGTGCGGTGATGGTGCCGCGGAGCGTTTCCGGGTCCCGCTGGTAGTTCTGGCCGCCGTCTGAGAACGAGTCCGGGGTTACGTTCAGGATTGACATGATGCGTGTGGCGGGGTGGGTGAGTGCAGACGACATGGGGGAGAGAGAGGGGCTGAGAGGGACCAGCGGCACAAGGGGAGCATCGGGTTTGGGGAGGGAGGCTAGACGCTCGTGAATGTGTGAGTGCTCGAATGGGAGGGCGAGGGTGTTATCCTGCGGTATGAGTCTGATTGCCTTTTGTTAGCCACACAGAGGTGAATTGATATGAGACTGGTAAGGGTGAGAACGCACTCGCTGAGCGGCCGCAAGACGAATTCCCGTTCAAACATCAGTGCATGCGGGATCTGGAGCCGGTCGTCTGCATGCTGGGTTTCGCCGAAGAGCAGAATGTCCAGGTCGATGTTTCGCGGGCCTTTGTCGATGAGCTTCACGCGGCCCATTCGCTGCTCAATGGCCTGTAGCTCGTCGAGGAGCTCGAGGGGTGAGAGACTGGTTTCTATCTACTCCCATTGTCAATCCGATTTTCTGTATGCATGCCAGAAGAGAGATGCAGCGCATACCTCGCAAGCACCATTGACAAAATTGTCTTGATCAAGCACGTACATGGCCTTGCTTTCCCACAGGCTGCTGGTCTGCACGATGCGGATTTTCCCACTCGCCTCCATTTCCCGGCATGCCTGCTCAATCATGGCGGTCCTGTCGCCCATGTTGCTGCCCAGAGCAACGAAGACATGTTTGTTTTTCAGAGGCTCGGTACCGCCGCTTAGACTCGATATTTTTCTTCTTCCTCTTCCTGTTGCTGGAGTGCATGGCTGCGGCGCTCGCAATAGGCGCCAAGAGCTTCCATTATGAAGGTTGAGTGCAGGTGAATATGCCCCGCGAGTGCTAGGTGCTGTGTGAAAATTTTCAAGCGCTCGACTGGACAGCCGGGCACTGGATGCTGCGAGGGGCCTGGCGGTTTGGTGGACACAGCATGGCGATATGATGATCCTCAGTGGCGCTGCACGCGGGGCGCGGGAGAGCAACATGGTGGCATGTGACGCAGCCGTCACAAAGGAACAAGTGCATGCTTACCCCATGCCCCAGACGGAGCTAGTGACGTATGTGGCTAGCGTTCCCCGTGTTACAGACCCGAAATGCCTCGGCTCATGCCTCGGTCTGCTGAGACTTGACGACGACTCGACACTTCATAAGACCCGCGCTGACGCCGCCTTGCGTGCTTTTCCATCTCTGTCGCGAATTTTCCCAAGTCCCCTTTTTTCTCGTCGAGTCTCTCCTACATCCCAGCACTAGATTTTCATCGCGACATCGCCGTCATCATGGCTTCTCCACGTATGTATACTCCGGCCTCCTAGTTGCTTGACGTGCGCATGACGCTGACCTGGTCACAGAGCAAATCCGCACCAAACTGACCGACCTGCTGAAGATCCAGCACCCCGTCATGCTCGCGGGCATGAACGTGGCTGCTGGACCCAGGCTCGCCGCTGCGGTTACGAATGCTGGAGGTCTCGGTGTTATTGGAGGTGTGGGATACACGCCCGACATGCTTCGCGAGCAGATTGCCGAGCTCAAGGAGTACTTGAACGACAAGAGCGCGCCCTTTGGTATCGATCTGCTTCTCCCTCAGGTCGGAGGCAGCGCGCGCAAGACCAAGTACGTCATGGCTCTCCTGGCTGCCCCTAAGACGCCGTACTAATCAGAAACAGCTACGACTACACAAAGGGCAAGCTGAACGAGCTTGTCGATATCGTCATCGAGTCCGGCGCCAAACTCTTTGTCTCGGCCGTTGGTGTCCCTCCCAAGGCCATCGTCGAGAAGCTACACAAGGCGGGCGTTCTCTACATGAACATGATTGGACACCCCAAGCACATCAAGAAGTGCCTCGATATCGGTGTTGACATCATCTGCGCATAGGGAGGTGAGGGTGGAGGACATACTGGAGACGTCCCAACATCCATCTTCATTCCCGCCGCTGTCAAGATGGTCCAGGGCCACAAGTCGCCTTTGACCGGTGAGCAGGTCCAGATTGTCGCTGCTGGTGGTATCTTCAGCGGCCAGTCGCTCGCTGCCATGCTCACATTTGGCGCCGCTGGTGTCTGGGTCGGAACGCGCTTCATCCTTTCTGAGGAGGCTGGTGCGCCCAAGGCCCACCAGGAAGCCGTCCGCACCGCCAGCTGGGACGACAACATCCGCACAATCATCTTCACCGGACGACCGCTCCGTATCCGCAACAACCCATACGTGGCCAACTGGGAAGAGAACAGGCAAAACGAGATCAAGGAGCTCACAAGCAAGGGCATAATACCCGTTGAGCACGACCTGGAGAAGCTCGGCGACGACATTGACGACGAGACCATGGACAACGCGCGACCCTTCCTGATGGGCAAGGTCTCCGCCGTTGTCGAAGAGAAGAAGACTGCACGCGAGATTGTCGACGAGCTCGTCACCGATGCCGTCAAGTGGCTGCAGATTGGAAACTCGATGATTGTTTCCAAGCCCAAGCTCTAAAAACATTGCTTTTTGTATATAATGAATCAAGAGATTTTCTTATCCCCCATCTTTACTTTTCCAGCATGAACCGTGCATCAGAAATAAGCAGTCGCTGGGCTGATGTATCGTACCGTGTTGTTTACTTGGTGTGCATGTTCCTCGATTGTAGTGCTGCTTTGTATTTCGGGTGCGAAGTCACTAAGCCACGAGGTATACACTTAATCAAGGCCGTGGTCACAAGTGTATAGATGGCGTTGTTCGTGTGCTACAGAATTTTGTGTCAAGGTGCCCTAGTTAAAAGAAATGTCTTAGCAAGCTTATGTACCAAGATGGCATTGGATATGTACATATCGACGAAGGTCAAAGTGCATATCATGACCCACGGAGAAAATATACAGTCCATAGGCTCGATCTATCTATGCTTGAACAAGGCCGTTAGGTATGAAAGATATAGTACAAGGTGTATAACTACTGTCGCAAAAACAATCTGAATAGAGAGAACGACCCGCTTCCTCAAAACCTCCCTCCCCCTCCTTCCTACGCAGTCGCTCTCGGCGGCGTCCAAAGCCGTTTGCCCTGCGAATCATGCGGCGGCACTCTCACCAGAACCGTCACAGATGCACATCCCAGGACAAGGATAAACACCGCGAGCGCTCCTCGCGTCTGGCACAGAAACAGCGTGTACAGACCATACAGCACCACGACAATCTGCCAGAAAAACATGTACACACATGCACAAATCTTTGCTGCGCAATTGCGGGTAACTCTTAGTAGCATGCTGGCATATGCCCAGTACGCATTCCACCACTCGCCGAAGGTAGGCGGCGCAAGGATAGCCGCCCAGTGCTCGCGTCGACACTGATGCGACAAGTGCTGTGTAGCGAGGGAGTGGGGATGCGGCGATCGCTGCTCCAACACATAGCTCCACACGATACTCAGGTTGCCCGTCCAGCTGTACGGCGTCTCGTGCTGCATGAAGCGCTCCCACTGCTGTACGGTGGCCAGCGCCGTTTCTCGGCTGACGACGAACCATTCTCGATGGCCTTCTACCGGCGCCTTTGCAGCACACGCCCGCGGCTTGCGCGCGTGTGCCAGGTCCTGCTTGATGAGCCTTTCCAGGCGCCCGTGGTGCGAAAAATGTCGGTTGTGGAGACGTGGATGACGTCCGGGGTGAAGTTGCAGCATTCTTGGTGCTCCTTGATTCGGTGCATGACGCAGCGTGTTGTCTTGCCGATCTTGTAGCCTGCCGATGGGTTCTGTGGATCGCGGACAATGTATATGACGCCTTTCTTGTCCCGGGGGCTAAGTGCTGTTCGGAGTATTTCACGCAACATGTCGTGCGTGCCGCGCGGTGTCTCTGATAGTGTGGGTCGCGGAGAAGAGCGTTGCTCGTTGTCGTTGGACTGGAAGCCAGGAGTTTCTGGACACGTGCTAGGTCCTGTCGGCATAGTAGAGTTTGAAGAAGCGGGTTCTTCGGAAATAGACTCTGATCGTGTATCAGATGATGCTGGAATGGCGCGAGGCTTTGAGGCCGGGCGGCCATTGGAGGATTCGCGAGTTGTGGAAGGATTCCCTTGGGCAATGTTCGCGTCTTGATTAGCCTTGACATGCGGCCTCCTTCGAGGCCGGTTCGGAGGTGTAGGGGATGGAGCTAATTCCATGTCAGACTCGCTGTTTGTGTCTGGTGATGAGGGTTGGGGCCAGCCCTGTTTCGTTGTGGTCAATTTTGCAGAAGAGGGTCGGATTTCTGCAGGCAACGACATATATCCCATTAGCTCGGTAGTTAAAGGTGATTGTAGAAAGGTATCAGAGACTATGTTTGTAGAAAGTGTGTGTGAATATAGAATGAGAGTCCTTGATTGAATAATGTAGGTTTTGAGCAGACGCACTGGTATGTCACTGGGTTAAATAGTGCGGTTCATCTACTCATACCTTCAGCCTTGTGACGGGCTATGGAATCATACCCCAGCTTGTACACGGAGCACATAGGTAAACGTGTGCAGTGCTGAGTATCAACAATTGCTACCCCTATGGCACAGTTGTTCGTATGCTTGGCTGTGCATCCTTCAGGAACGATAATGGACGCTCATGAGCATCACTGGTTACTGTTGAAGCTGAACAATGTATTGGAAGATGTATTCTTCGTGCTGGAATGGCGGCTGCGGGTACTGGCAAAAGACGTAGTTAGTGATGAAAGAGGTCTTCGTCCTGGTACCTTTGATGCTCTCCTCGCCAGAGCAAGAGGTGGCTGCGCGTCCCAAAGCCGCATCAAACGTGGGGGTTCGGTGCCTGCGCCCACTACTACACAAGTGCGAAGCATCAGTGTAAGATTTCGAAATCCCATGAGCAAGGCTGACAGCTCAATAGTCGCGCTTGATGGCCATATACGAGTTCACTGGGTAGCCTTAGCGGCTATGGCTGAGAATCCCGGTCGTTCAAAGGAATTAGTGGCTACCATTTAGGCAGGTAGACTGACGGTGCGACATTTCGTGTATCATGTCGTATTCGACTGGCACCATTTGTGCATCTAAGTAGGGGAATGGGTGAACAGACATAATAATAGATACGACAAACCCGGCGACGAACATGTATCTAGAATGAAGTTAAATGAGACCTGGGGGAAACACAGCTCTGGATGGCGTGTGAAGATCGACCGCACCCGAGATTGCGTTTCTTGGCCATGCATGGCTCGGTACTGCGTGCATATTGCAACGATAATCGCGACAGTGTGTTGACTGTGGGCTACACTGACGATGCCGTTACACCGACGTGAAGCCGTAGCCTCGGGTTTTGGTGTTTTCGGCCTACTCATCTCGTTCCGTAAACTTTAGATTGAACACGGTCTGCAGAGGTGTTTGTTTTCTGATTGGAACAAATTTTTTTGGAGGCTTTGGAAGTTACGCACTAACAATTTAGGCTCTGAATGTTAGATTGCTGATGAACCACGCCAGAACGCTGATCACGGGAATACGTTACCGGCAGTATACAACTCAAGCCTGGGTGTTGAATATTGGCTTATCGCACCCTATGGAGTAAATGTATATGCTAATGCCGAATGCATTTTGTGGGTAGATTTATTGATAAAAAAAGACAAAGAAATCATGACGTGTTGCCCGCCCATAATGGAAGTATCGCTGGTCTGGACATGGCTTATTCCCGGTGTATCACATATGCGAAGAGCGTGACCGTGATACAAAGACTATGAAGTGGGGCAAAAATATGAAGAGACTAAAGAATATTCAGACACAGAACCATGCGATGCAACCATGGGCGGCCAGCCTGAAGACGCTGCCTGGTGGTGGCACTCTCAACGACATTCAGCATGTGGGGCACGCTAGCACGTTTCAGTTGTGGCCGGGCGCCTTTCGGACATGGTTCGCCATCTTCACCGACACTCATCTCACCTGCATCCTCTGTTCGCTGATGCCTAGCAAAGCTATCTAACACTCTGTCTACATGCTCGCCAGTGTCCAGCCAGCTGGTTACGGGTTGGGGCTCAAGTGGAAGGAAGTGCTGTCCAGATAGTATCTGTCGCGCCTTTGCTCCAAGCAGCCTTTCAACAGACAACATGGCGACGCTGCAGACGCCAATCTCACCAAAGTCTTCGTTTTCAGACATCCCGCCAATCTCACAGTGTCCTAGCATATGGGTCAGTACACATCCTGTAGTTGTTTCTCATGCCAACTAACATCACCAGGACGCAAAAGCTGCTAGGTTTACTCCATGCGCTCTGCCCTATGTCGCAACTGTACCAGTCATTATTGCAGCCCTGGTCTTACTGAGGTACTCCCTAAGAGTAACGAGTGATTACTGGCCAAGATGGACAAAACCATTCATGCAGGAGAAGAAAGAGAAGCTGGACGAGTTTGAAGCCCCTTCAACCCAACGACCATGGAGCGCCACGATTGGACTTTTAATTACAGCTACCATCGGTCTTACCTTCCAGACTATCCATGTATTCATTCCTCACCATGAGTCAATGGCTATACTTCCGGCAATTGCATGGGTAAGCAGTCCCCAAGTGGCTTGCGGTATATGACTAATGAGCTCTGTAGGCTATTGCAGTTGCCATTATCATGGTAGAGCGACCGAGGACAGCTTCTTTGTCGCTTTTGTGGCTCTTCTCTGGACTTTTACTGGAACAGCTGATCATGCTATCTCACCAACAAACAAAATTTCTAGCAAAAGATCTTCTATGGGCCATTGCGCCCGTGGCAGCATTAGTTGCAATCATCCTGGTGCTCAATATGCCGCTGCGAGACCCAATGCTACCAAAAAAGGATATTAGTGCCGCCTTCGATACCTCGACTGTTCAGCTGCGCACCCCCGAAGATAACCTAACCCCCTGGCAGTACATGACTGTATCATGGATGGAGCCATTGATTAAAAAAGGCACAACACGCCAAATGGAAGACGAGGATATCTGGGACCTTGGCTGGGAATTCAAGCATGCGCGTTTACACGAAGCATTCAGAGCACTCCCCGGATCGGTAACCAGGAGGATTTTTGTAGCAAATGGCGTAGATCTGCTGCTCACGACATTGATAAACATAGTACGCTTAGCAGCAAGTAAGTTTCTGGTTCTGTTCTTCCATACGTATCAAGAATCTGACTCTAGCAGCCCTCCTCGCGCCCGTTTTCCTCCAGCGTCTCCTTGCCTCAATGAACATTCATAATGACCGCGCAACCATCACATACGCGTCTATCATTCTTGTATTGCGTTTGTCATCCGCACAGCTCAATGTCTTCAACCTGTGGTACCAAAGGCGCGCGTATGAGAGATGCAGAGGCGAACTGATCACGATGCTCTACGAGAAAACTCTGCACCGCAAGATCCTGGGTGCCAAACAGCGGGCGACAAAAGATCAAATCAATGGCGAAACTAACGGCCAGACGCAAGATGCGGAAAACGGAGACACACATCCTACCGAGGAAACAGCCAAGAAGACTCCACAGTCTCTGAAGGACAGTCTGCTTGACTCTTTTCGATCAGTATTCACGAAGAAACCCAAGACTACGGAAGAAGAGTCTGACCCCGCATCAATGGGCAAGATTCTGAACTTGATGCGCAATGATGCATACGAAATCGCGCAGCGCTTCTGGGAGTTTTCTGACATCATCACTAAGCCTGCTGGTGCGATATTTGCAGTCATACTCATATGGCGTATGCTGGGCTGGGCATGTCTGCTAGGTGTACTAGCTCTGGGTGCATCACAGCTCCTGAACATTGTCATTGCTCGGTTACAAGTTCACTTTGAGAAAAAGCGACGAGCGGCGACAGACGAGAAGCTTCAACGAACAAGTCAGTTTATCGAGTCGATTCGACACTTGCGATGGTATGGATGGCAAAGCGCGTGGCTTGATGATATTCTTGAGTCTCGCCAGAAAGAGTTGCATTTACGCGTTGTCAACATCTTCTTCACTACTTCGCTTGCTTTCATCTTGCGATTCGGCTCTGGACTCTTCCCGGCTGTGGCCTTTTACGCCTTCACGAAAATGGCACACCAAGATTTGCGTATTGACCTCATATTCCCTGCTATTGACCTGTTCAATCTGTTGGAAAGCTACCTCCGATCTCTGCCACAGTTAGTCACGACCTTGCTCAATGCATACGTCGCCATGGGTCGCATCGAACAGTTCATGGCTGAACCCAACAAGGAGGAGATTGGCTTGATGCCCGAGGGATCTGCTGAACTTAGCATGCACCAAGCCTCCTTTGCTTGGCCGGGTATGGATCAAAACGTACTCTCTGACATCACGCTAGCCTTTCCTCCTGGATTAACAGTGGTTTATGGAGAAGTTGCCGCAGGAAAAACAGCGCTATTGCAGGCATTGCTTGGCGAGCTAGACATAACGGCCGGTGAACTCGTGCGCCCTGACCAAATGGTTGCATATTGCGCGCAGACCCCTTGGCTGCAGAGCATGAGTATCCGAGACAACATACTATTCTCGCTTCCCTATGAAGAGGCGCGTTACAAGCAAACACTGGAAGCGTGTGCGCTGTTGCCTGATATGGCAGAGCTGAAGCATGGCGATCTATCAAACATTGGCGAAAATGGCATTGGCCTATCCGGTGGACAAAAGGCTCGCGTAGCGCTCGCTCGAGCAGTGTACAGCAGCGCAAAAGTCGTGCTTCTCGACGACCCCTTGTCGGCTCTTGATCACCAGACGGCAGAGTTCATCGTCGCAAAACTGCTGGCGGGGCCGTTACTGCAAGGTCGAACAACCATACTCGTGACACATCGAACGGAGCTTTGTCATGGTCTTGCGAAGCAGTGGGTTCAGCTAGAACAGGGCCACGCAACGATCCATGAGCCCACACAAGCTGAGGATGCCAACGCCCTGAAGCGGACGCGAACAAGCGAAACTGAGTCTGAGGAAGATGCAAAGAAACGCGAAGAAGAGCAAATAGCAGCCATTCCAGACAAGTTCATCGAGGACGAGCATCGTGAGAAGGGCGGAGTCAAGTGGAGCGTGTACTGGCGGTACATCAAAGCAGGAACACTGCGGTGGTGGTCTATGGCGATCTTTGTCATGGCCGCTTTCCGTGTCCTCGACGTCGCTCAAACCTGGTTCATGAAGTCTTGGGGCGAAAGCTACGATAACGTAGAACACAACGGACTCTTCGGTTTCTTGCCACCGGCAACCGAGAATGTCGACCCGTGGCTCTGGACATTCTTCCTCTTCGTGTCTGGAACCGCCATACTATTTTGGTGGACGCACCTGATCATGTTCGGAACTGGTTACCACGCGGCAAAAACTATCTTCAAGAACACGATAGAGCGCGTTGCTAGTGCGACATTCCGATTTTACGACGTCACGCCAGTGGGAAGACTGATGAACCGATTGACAAGCGACATGAATACGATTGACGGAGATCTGAGCAGCGCTTTTATCATATTTGCCTGGCAGATTATTGGCTGGATAAGCTGTATTATCATCTTCCTGTCGTCTACGCCGGGATTCATAGCGTTTGGTGTAGTACTCTGCTGCGGATTTGTGTATTACTTTTTCCGCTTCCTGCCCACATCACAAACTCTGAGGCGTCTTGAGGTAAGCTCCATTGCAAGATACAATCGGCTGAAGCCTGTCGTACTAACGTCAAGTAGATGGTTTCGCTTTCTCCTTTGATGAGCAATTTCGGTGCTCTTGTCGAAGGACTAACGACGGTGCGAGCGTTCAAGGCACAACAGCGTTTCCAGGCTCGCGTCATTGAGGTCGTAGACAACTTCCAGAAGAACGATCATTTCTACTGGTCTTTGCAAGCGTGGCTAGCCCTGCGCTTTAGCATCATGTCGGGCAGCTCGGCGCTCATCATGACGCTCATTGCTGTATACACGGGCATCAGCCCTGGACTCACGGCCTTTGTGCTCATTACAGCAGGCAAGTTCGTCCTTCACACGGAATGGATATGCAGGATCTACGGAACCCTGGAAATGGACTTTACCAGTGTCGAGCGCGTGGTCGAGCTCTTGGACGTGGAGACGGAAGCGCCTGGTGTTGTGGAGCCGCCTGCACACTGGCCCACGTACAGCGGTGATATCGAGTTTGACGATGTGACGATTCGCTATGCAGAGAACCTTGAGCCAGCACTGCAAAACATCACACTCAAGATTCCAGCAGGGTCAAACACGGCCGTCATTGGGCGCACAGGCTCAGGGAAATCAACGCTGGCTCTCAGTCTCCTCGCTACAATTGCTGCTGAGAATGGCAGGATCCTCATAGACGGCATCGACATTTCGACGGTCAAGAAGCAGGCCCTCCGCAGCCGCGTCACGTTTCTCGCGCAAGAACCAGTTCTTTTCCCCGGGACCATGCGCAAGAACCTTGACCCCTTGTCAGAGTACTCCGACGCCGCTTGTCTCGCAGTGCTACAGAAGATTGGAGGGGAGCAGTACTCATGGAGCCTGTCGACTATGATTGAGGGAGGCGGCAAAGGGCTTTCCCAGGGTCAGCGGCAGCTGGTAGGGCTAGCAAGGGCTATGCTGAGGAGGTCTCCGATTCTGATCATGGACGAGGCTACAGCCAGCATTGACTTTGAGACTGCGCAGCGGATCCAGAGCGTCCTGAGGGAAGAGATGAGCAGCAGCACCGTGATCACGATTGCACACCGGCTCGAGGCGGTCAAGGCGGCGGATTACTGTGTGGTGCTTGGCAAGGGCAGGCTGGTCAAGGCTGGCAGAGCCGAGGATATGCTGAGGGAGGGAAGTGAGTTCCAGGCGATGCTCGCATAGACGGTTGGGGGGGGGGTTAAACAGATAGCTGGCTGGAGATGAATTGCAGGCATACGTCTTCTTGAGGCGCATTCTTTTACGTTGGCGTTCGTGACCACGTCAAGTGCACCGTGTATTAATGGCTAGCCGACGCATCCACATCATCGGAGGTGAGGCTTGCGTGGCACCGCCACAATTTGTCTTGGCATGGGCAGGGATGTGCGGCAGGCGGCGTAGTAAAGGCCGCATGTTCCGCGTCCCCAAAAGTCTCACAGTTCCCAATCTGCAGCGCCCCTTGCTATATTCTTTACTTTTCAGCATGCGGTGACATGCCCACTGCTCACTTGTAACCTGCTGTCCACGTTAGTTTGATACTGACCGCCTCTAGCGCCTCTACAGTCCCGTCGGAGGTGTCGCTGGCTCCGCAATCACACAGCAATCACGCGGACGCCCGAACATGGCTGCCGCGAAGCCTTCCGATAGCAATGGCCAGGCCGCCGGCGACCACGAATTGGAGCAGATGGCGGACAAGAAGCCGAGCCTGCCCGTCGAGGAGGACCTGATGCAGCTCGCGCGTCTGGGCGAGATTGGCGCGATACAGAAGCTCTTCGACAGCGGCAAGTATGATGCCACGTACAAGGACGAGCAGGGCATAACGCCGCTTCATGTGTGTATCATTCCGGCCATGTAGCGACGAGTCGACGCTGATCAGTCAACAGTGGGCGGCGATCAACAACCACTACGCTCTCTGCCACTTTCTCATCCAGGCCGGCGCACCCATCAACGCAAAGGGCGGCGATGCGGTCGCAACACCCGTGCTATGGGCCGCGAAGCGCTGCAACTACTACGTCGTCAACCTCCTTCTCGACCACGGCGCAGACCCACTCCTGACCGACGACCAAGGCTTCAACCTCTTGCACAGCGCCACGCTCGACGGCAACGTCTTTCAGCTCGTCCTGCTCCTCCACCAAGACATCCCCGTCGACATTCCCGACCCGCAGAGTCACACCCCACTCATGTGGGCCGCATACAAAGGCTACCCGTCTTGCGTCGACCTGTTCCTCCGATGGGGCGCAAACGTGTATGCCACTGATGATCAGGGCTTCACGGCGCTGCACTGGGCGCTCGTAAAGGGCAGCCAGGGCTCCATCCAGAAGCTGCTCGAGTACGGCGCGGATCGCTTTGCCAAAAACAACGACGGGAAGACGCCAGAGGTGACGGCGCAGGAAATGAATACAACGCGCCAATGGCACCGTGCCCTCTCCGAAGCTGGCTTCGATAGAAACGGCAATCCCAAGCAATTTCCCATTCCCGGCATCAAGGATGCAAGGTGGTTTCTGAACCGCTTCATGTTCTTCTGGCCTTTTGCTATTCTCTTCGTTGGGCTCTATTTAGTCAGCCACTACCCTGCGTTCCTCGGGATTCCCCTAAGTCTGATTGTTACGTACCTGATGCAATGGGGATCGCAGAAGCTGTTAAAATGGGGCCCTTCAAATATGCGAAGTGTGCCTCATACTGTGAGTTTGGCGCAGAAGCATTTGAAATTCGCTACTGACCAGAATAAAGCCGTTTTTGGCCGGTATATTTGCTAGCACGTTATTTTGGGTTGGGCTTCGCTGGATCACGACGGTTCTTCCGCGTAAGTTGACCCTGAACAACAGTCGCTATCTCTCTAACAAGCGCAGTTACAATACGAACGAGTTTCTTTCTCAATCTTCTCTTCGCCATCTTTTACAGTCTCACGGCATATTTCTACTTCTTCGCAATGACTTGCGATCCCGGCTTCGTTCCCAAATCGGCGAGCAGGAGCGCTTCCAAGGCCGTTATCGATGAACTTATGGAGCTACGACAATTTGACGAGCACCATTTTTGTGTCAATTGCATGGTGCGCAAGCCTTTGCGTAGTAAGCATTGCAAGCGATGCGAGCGCTGTGTTGCAAAGAGTGATCAGTGAGTGTCAATGATGCACATGCGCAGGATAGAGCTAATCGTTATAGTCACTGTCCGTGGGTGAACAATTGTGTTGGAAACAACAATCACCGTCATTTTGTGTTCTATCTCCTGGCTTTGGAGACGGGAATAGTTCTCTTTGTCAGGTTGGTGCTTGACTGTAGGTATTCGTCATATTTTCACATTTGGGCTTTGCTAAGGTATGCAGACTTGGAGATTCGCGAAGCGCCCAAAGAGTTTGCAGAGTGCGCTGTCATCTCACCGGAACTGTGCAAAGTTCTGAACAAGGATCCTTTTACAATTGTGCTGGCGATATGGGCGACGTTCCAGCTGACTTGGGTGACGATGCTGCTTTGTGTGCAGCTGCTGCAGATTGCGCGCAATCTTACTACGTATGAAAGCATGCGTGGACATCTCAATAGCCACACGGCTGCCAACGCGGTCAATTCGTTTGTCACAACTGGCGACATAAGCCAAGAGGTGTCGAGCGGGGGTAACGCGCCAACAAACGGCTTCGGGTCTGGCCAAGACACTGGCGACGCTCCGCGCCGGCGGGAACCCAAGGCCTCTATTCTGGATCAGTGGAAGCGTCTCCTTGGGATCGACACGTTTGTCACGATTGCGTTTCACGGCAGCCAAGGCGAGCAAATGCGCCGGCAAAGACAGGGCAACCCCTTTTCACGCGGTATGGTTACCAACTGCAAGGATTTCTGGTGCGACGCGAGCCCGGTGTTTGGATCCAAAGAGAGCGGGTATGCCAGGCTGGGTGGCGAGCGAGTGGATTACACCAGGCTATACGAAGTGCCAAAGATGAAGTATCAGCGCAATGGCGGGGGTGAGGGTGGAAGGTATGAGAGCGTGGCTGGGGAGGAAGAGGCATCATGATGAAGGGTTGATGAAGCTGCGGTAACGTTAATGACTATGCAAAGCAACGGCGACGAGTGTTTCAACGTTTCAGCAAGCTTTACAGTTTCGCGTCTTGGGACACATGTCGTGTATAGTAGACGGCTCTGCTCGGCTACTAGAAGAATTGCCGACATGGCCTCTTCAGCTACACCGGAAAGGCCAAAGCCTCGGCTGTGGACAGCGCTACGTGGAAACCCGCCGCGGCGCGGGCTAAGTCAGCGTGGGTCTCGCGCGCACATGCGGAACGGTCCACCACCTACGCTTTCTGCGCTTTGATTTAGATATTGTGCTCTTGCGCGCACCACACTCCTTTTCAGTCTTGTTCTTTCTGCTCAGCGGGCTGTTGCAGCCTTTGGGCGAGCGCCAAATGTCCAAAATGACATCACACGAGGTCCTGCGCGGGCTGAGAAACCTTTCGCGATGGGCTGGTCCGATACCGAGACAGGTTGCGGCGGGACGACAACTCGCAGGTAGCAGAGGGCGGAGGGCCATGTGCACAACGTGCGTGCGAAGCACACAGGCTCGGAAATCAGTATCTGCGCGCTCACATGTGGCGGTGGTGGGCTGCAGAGGGTATGCGCAGGTCATGGCGCAAGAAAGTACTGGATCGCGGGACTCGTCCCAGCCCAACGATGGCGAGAGCATGTGCTAAGACGTGGACAGTCTTTCCTGAAGAAGAATATACCATCGAGGGGACGCATGGTCCCATGGCCGAGTACAATGTGCGCGTGCAGTCCGGCCGCCTGCGAGACGACGAGCACCAGCGCAACATCATCCGAAGCCTGCAAGACCTACACGACATGCTGGGGAGTTACACCCAGCCTCCGGTACAGCAACCCACGATCGAATCGCTGCAGCCGGCTAAAAAGAGCCTGTTCTCTTTCCTGTCGTCCTCCAAGCCGGCCGGCTCGGCACTCCCGCCCATCCCCGAGTCGCTGCCCAAGGGCATCTACATGTATGGCGATGTAGGCAGCGGGAAGACGATGATGATGGATCTCTTCTACGACACGCTACCGGCAAACATTCAACGAAAGACACGGATACATTTCCATGCCTTCATGCAGAGCGTGCACAAGGATTTGCACAAGATGAAAATGGTACACGGCAACGACATTGATCTGGTTCCGTTTGTGGCGGCGGGGATAGCAGAGCGCTCGTCGGTGCTGTGCTTTGACGAGTTCCAGTGCACCGACGTGGCGGATGCCATGATCCTGCGGCGGCTGATGGAGGGCTTGATGGCGCATGGCACTGTGATTGTGACAACGTCCAACAGACACCCGGACGACCTGTACAAGAACGGGATACAGCGCGAGTCGTTTATCCCCTGCATCAATCTGCTGAAATCGCGCCTTACGGTGCTGAACCTCGACTCGTCGACGGATTACCGCAAGATTCCCAGGCCGCCCTCGGGCGTCTATCACCACCCTCTGGATGCATCGGCGCAGACGCATGCCGACCGGTGGTTCCGATTTCTCGGTGACTTTGAACATGACCCGCCACATGCTGCTGTGCATGAAGTGTGGGGGAGGGAGATCCACGTTCCCAAAGCTAGCGGCAAGTGTACCGTGTTTAGCTTTGATGAGATTATCGGGCGTGCTACAGGTGCTGCTGACTATTTGGAGCTCACGCGACAATACGAAGCTTTTATCATTACAGGGGTTCCTGGCATGAACTACCGCAGTCGAGATTTGGCCAGGAGGTTCATCACATTTATTGATGCCGTGTATGAGGCGAGAGTGAGTGGACATTTGGGCAAATATACATGGAACTCTGTGTGTGTGCTAATGGCGTGACAGGCCAAGTTGGTTATGACGACAGCGGTTCCGCTGACGTCGCTGTTTGTTGACCAGGCAGAGCTCAGCGACGCGGTAAATGCAAGCAAGAAAGCCGGCAAGGCAGCGGATTCGTCAGCTTCGTTGACCGGAGCCCCCAAGGCCGGTGAGGATGACGGAGAGGCAATCTCAGATGTCATGCGCAATCTCATGGATGACCTGGGCATGAACATGAGCATGCTCAAGAACTCGTCCATTTTCAGCGGCGACGAGGAGCGGTTCGCGTTTGCGCGGGCCCTGTCGAGATTGAGCGAAATGGGCAGTCAGGAATGGGTGGAACGGGGACTAGGTTTGGAAAAGAGGGGTGGGAAGGGTGAGATGGAGGGATGGCAGAAGGTAAAATCAAAGTGGCGAGAGGACAACATGTAGAGCAGGCAAGGCAAAACCAAACCAAGGAAAAAAAAACATGGAATGTGCAAAAAACACCAACAGCAATTGATGCGCCGAGTGCTTGTGGCAGCGTAATCGTACATGAAACACGGTGCTCGGCAAGGATACGTGGTGCTCGGTGTTGTAGCATCATGGACGAATTGGGCCATGGGGGTGGTCGATCAAGGCTTGCTTGCTGCAGCGCCTGATGCACCGACGGGCGGAAGCAGGGCGTGTAGCGCCGCAAACGACCGACATGAGGCCTGATATCACGATATGACGAAATGGCGATATGCGCTGGCGGGGGAGGGGCGGAGAGTGCAGCAGAGACGGTAGCAACAGCGAGACGTGAGGGCCTCCAAGAAAATTAAAACGGGCATTGTGCTAGTGCTGGTGCTAGCGGTGGTGGCTTGTCGTATAGGCGCAGGTGCAGGTGTATGGTTGTCGGGTGAGAGGAGCGAGCCCAAGCATTGCGTCTTGGGCGCCGAGCACGTGGAGGGTCCAATGGCGGGCGCAACAGGCCGAATGCGGTGAGCCGAGGGGAGTAGCGGCCGCATGGCGCGTTAGGCGAGCAGGTGTGGCGGTGCGGCGTCTCGGTGGACTGCTATTGGCCGAGAGGGCGCTGGAGCTGGGATCATGGACAAGTAAAGGTACATGCGACACGACGGGCCTAGCGCCCACCGCCATGGGCTGAGAGGGCGGCGGGCGGCGGGCGGTGAGAGGGCGCGGCGGCCAATGGGAGGCGCGGGGCTCGAGGCGCACGCGGGGGCCTGATCACATGGAGCTTGGCAGTGCGTCATTGGGCCGGCGCTAGCAGAGGCAGCCGCGATATGCACCTTCTTTTTGCCCGCGTCGACACCGCACGCGCCGCCGCCGACCCCAACCACCACGGCCATGGACACCCCACAATCATATCACACGCCGTCAGCTGTCCTTATCGTGCAGAACCAGCTCCATCATCCTGCACCGCTATCCTCGCCGCGTGTGTGGAGAAGAGGGTCCTCGTGAGACGCGTGCTCCCCAAACTAGCCTGTACCCTGGCACCACTACCACCACCACTACCACCACCACCACTACCGCGATTCCGAGCACCACCACCACCATGACCGTGGCCATGGCCGACTCGTGATATAGTCCTCCGCCCGTCCGCCGGCTTTCTTCCTGCTCCTCTGCTCTGCACGCCCTCTGCACTCTTCCTCCCCGTCTCGCCCGCCGCCCTCCAGCCTTTGCTCGAGTGCCCCGCCATGGTGAAGCTGACTCCGTGGCGCAAGACGCACGACGCCAGCGCTGCTGCGTCGACGGACAATTCGACGCAAGAGAAGGATGCTCCGCGACGCAAGTGGAACCTGGGAATCCTCAGCGACCCCGAGACGGACGAAGTGCCCGGCTCCGTCATTCTGCTCTCGCGCGTCCATAACCGCAACGAACCGCTAGGTCTCCAGCATGCCCATGCCCGCACCTCGGCCTCGTCGCTGCCCACCACACAGCGCCCGCAGCCCCAGCGCACCATCTCGCACGGCTCGCGCCACTCGTCGCGCTCGCGCCAGCCGGAGAAAAAACGCACAAAGGATGGCCGCTTCATCCTCGATCCCCAGCCAGAGGACTCGGCAAACGACCCCCTCAACTGGAACCAGGTTCGCCGCGACCTGGCCCTGCTGTCCCTCGGCTTCTACTGCATGATTGGAGGAGGCATGACGCCCTTGCTGGCTGCCGGTTTTAACGATGTTGCCAGGACCTACAATGTGTCGATACCCCAGGTGGCCCTGACCACGGGCTTGTACATGCTGGGTCTTGGTCTTGGCAGTGTTGTTGCTTCGCCCACGGCCATTCTGTACGGAAAGAGGCCCGTCTATCTGGGCGCCATTATTCTCTTTACCCTCTCGTCCATCTGGTGTGCCCTGTCACCCAATTATGCTTCGCTCGTCGTTGCTCGTATTGTCCAGGGCTTCGCCGTCTCGCCCGTCGAGTGCCTCCCCAGTGCCACTATTGCCGAGATCTTTTTCCTCCACGAGCGGGCATACCGTCTCGGCATCTACACCTTGCTGCTGCTCGGTGGAAAGAACCTGATTCCTCTTGTGAGCGCTGCCATTGTGCAGTCCATGGGATGGAGGTGGGTTTTCTGGATCACCGCTATGATTGTCGGCTTCTGCTTCTTCCTCATCTTCTTCTTTGTCCCCGAGACCTTCTGGGACAGAGCCCCCAGGCCAGCCAGGCGCCGCAATCGGGCTCGCAGCCAAAGCCCCGGAAAACACCACAGCCACTTTCACCTACCGAACCTGCACCACAAGAAGCCTGCGGGAGACGCCCAAGGACAGCCGGGCGTGTCTGTGCCTGCAACACCACAGGTTATTTCGCCTGTGGCATCCCCGCTGGGCCATCCTGTAGCCTCGCCTTCGGAGAACGCTGCCAAACGCCACAAGAATGCACACGTTGGATTCGCTGAGCCGGCCCCTGACGAGAAGACGGCACACGTTGGATTTGCCGAACCGGACGTCGATGAGAAGGCGGCAGCGCACCACGTCAACTTTGCTGAAGAGCATCCACGACACGCCAGTGCTCCTCCAACGCCCCGCTCCCCAATGAGTATCCATTCCACCCCCGGCGAGACACAACGTCAAGACTATTTTGGCCAAATTACACCATCCACCAACACCGATCCAGAGAAACAGGACGCTCGTCCAGGGACTGGCCACACAGGTTCAGACGGAGCTGATGCTGTCTCGGAACAATTTTCCATTCACTACACCGACTACTATCGTGATGCCCCGCCAAAGTCGTATCGCGAGTCACTCAAGCCATGGAACGGCCGCCTTGCCAAGGACAAATGGTTGCGTGTGGCCATTCGACCGTTTATTCTCTTTGCCTACCCCGCTGTTCTGTGGTCATCGCTTGTATACGCGCTGGCTGTCGGTTGGCTAATTGTACTGTCTGAGTCCGTTGCGCACATTTACCACGATACTTCATACCACTTTACACCCCTGCAAGTCGGTCTCGTCTACATTTCGCCTTTTGTAGGCGGTGTCCTTGGAACGGCAGTAGCAGGTCGAGTTTCGGATCTTGTTGTGCGCTTCATGGCGCGCAAAAACGACGGCGTGTACGAGCCTGAATTCCGTCTTATCATGGCAATTCCCATTGCTATTAGTACGGTCATCGGGCTCATGGGCTTTGGCTGGAGTGCCGAGGAAAGGGATGCATGGATTGTGCCGACTGTCTTTTTCGGTGTCATCAGCTTTGGCTGTTCGTTGGCTAGTACCACTGCTATTACCTTTGTTGTGGACAGCTACCGCATGTATGCTGGCGAGGCGCTTGTCACGCTCAACTTTTCGAAGAGTAAGTCATAGTCGCTTGTTCTGCTTTCCCTTATACTAACACTCCTCTAGACGTTCTCCACGGCTTCATCTTCTCCCTCTTCTTCCCGCACTGGCTTGAATCCAGTGGCAGCAAGAAGACCTTTTTGGCCATTGGAGGCATCCAATTGGGCTGTTTGTTATTTTCCATTCCAATGTATATATACGGCAAGAGAGCCCGCATGTGGACTGTCCGCAAGAATTTGATGGAGAAATTTTGAGGGCAAAATTTCTAGATTTAGATATGAGTCTCACTCAAATTCATCGTCTTTGTTCATATTTTCAAAATCTGGTCCCTGGGCCCCTTTGCATCGTGACTGTGACGGTAACCAATATCTCTAAAGTTGACAGGTTCCCACCACCCGTCGTTAGCATTATTGAATCGGCTGGTTTAGGTATAGTTGATGTTTGTTTTGACAGCTTGGCGCTACTGACATGATTGCCCGTTGCAATGCTGATCGCTATGCCGTAAACTGCTCGTATCACTATCACTATCGTGTTTATGCGGTGTGATATAAGACTAACTACTTGCATATGGCGATGCATTCATACGGCTCGTGCTCGGCGCTAGCACATTCTCAGTACTTTAGACGAAGAGCGCCAAGTGAACGGGCCGCAGCTAATTTTAGCACCGAGGTTTGCCGTTGCGTTATCGTGCAGATGCTGGCAACTCGACAAGTGCAAGCGTACCATGGCGCCTGTATCGATGCCGTCCGCGCTCACGTTTGAGCTGCTGGGGAAATGCTCCGTATGTGTTGCTGATAGAGAGATGGAGATTGTCACATCAGCATCTGACAGGCACAGGTCACCAGAGCACGTGCTGCGACGCTTCACCTTCCTCATGGCCCAGTCCCACTGCCCATCTTCATGCCTGTCGCAACGCAGGCCTCGCTCAAGGGCCTGACGCCAGACCAGCTTGAAGACCAGGGTTGCCGCCTCTGTCTGAACAACACTTATCATCTGTATGGCAAACACTGGCCCGCCCATGCTGCTCTCGACTGACGTGTGCGAAGAGGCCTCAAGCCAGGACAAGCAACGCTTGATGCCATTGGCGGTGCACACAAACTGCAGTCATGGCCACATAATATCCTCACAGGTGCCCGCCACAACACGTCACGTGCAGCAAGACTACAAGATGCTGACTGCTACAGATAGTGGTGGGTGAGTGAAGACTCCCAACCAGGCGCACAGAAGAAACACCCGGCTGACGCGCCCGCCAGCTTCCAGATGGTATCGCTGCTGAAGCTCGCCAAAGTGACCGAGGAGGGCGTGCGGTTCCTCAGTCCGCACGATGGCGAGCCCATGCTGCTCACGCCCGAACACTCCATCTCGCTGCAAAACTCTATCGGCAGCGACATCATCATGCAGCTCGACGACGTGATTGTCACCACGTCTCCCGACCACGCCCGCATGCGCGAAGCAATGGAGCGCTCGGTCCGCTGGCTCGATCGCTGCATCCACGCGCACAAATACCCCGAGCGCCAGAATCTCTTCTGCATCATCCAAGGCGGCCTTGACCTCGACATGCGCAGAGAATGCACCGCTGAAATGGTCGCTAGAGACACGCCTGGAATCGCTATTGGAGGCTTATCCGGCGGCGAGGAAAAAGCCGCGTACTGCAGTGTCGTCAAGACATGTACCGAGCTGCTTCCGGGGAAGAAACCGCGCTATGTCATGGGCGTGGTATGTCGCTCTTGATCCTCACGCAGCCCCGTTTCTTTTTTCTTGCTAACCGCACCACCACCGCAGGGCTACCCCGAAGACCTGGTCGTATCCGTAGCCCTAGGCGCAGACATGTTTGACTGTGTGTGGCCGACGCGAACCGCCGTACGCCAATCCTCCCTCCCTCCCTCTCTCTCTTTTCCACCTCAACACTAACGTAGTAACCGCGTCTCCAGCGCTTCGGCAACGCAATCACTTCACGCGGCTCGCTCAACCTGCGCAACGCCCTCTACGCCCAAGACTTCACTCCCATCGAGCAGGACTGCACCTGTACTTGCTGCCGCCCTGCATCCAGTGGCGGCCTCGGCATCACACGAGCATACATCTACCACGTTACTGCAAAGGAAACGGCAGGCGCCCATCTCCTCACCATGCACAATGTGCACTACCAACTTACGCTCATGCACAACGCCCGAGAAGCCATTCTCCAGGATCGATACCCGCAGTTTCTGAAACAGTTTTTTCACTCGCTGTATCACGGCGAGAAGAATAGGTATCCGACTTGGGCTGTGCATGCCCTGAGAGGTGTCGGTGTTGATCTTCTGGCTGAATAAGTGCGCGGTTGTGAGTTGTGTGAGTAAGTATGTGTGTTTGGCTTATGTAGGAGAATTCAATCGTTTTTTCTGGGAATCGGAAATTAGGGGTTTTTTTTGGGTGCTGTGCTTATGATGCGGGGATTCAAGCTAGTAGTGATGGGCATAAGTAGGCATACCATGTATGTTCATGTGACTTTTACTCGGTGTGCATTGACAAGCTTTGCTCTAATTCTACATACTAATCTGTCATGAGCGCATCTTACATGGAAAGGATACTTGAATCTTCTCCCCCCTTGGTAAGTACGCACTGAGTACGCAATGGAAATATGCATTCACAAGCCCCATCTCCTAAAAACATCTACAAACCATCTTCCCAACACCCATTTAACTGCACACACACACACAAAATTACAATCTCCCGCTACGCCTCATACTCGGGCGGACTCCAAACCGTCGTGGATCCAAACGCGGGAATCGCATTCCCCAGCACACCACTAAACCGCTGTACAAAGGGGTGCGCCAGCACGCCCGTCACGCTACTCAGCAGGAAAATGCCCCATTCGGACTGGGGATTCGCAATGTGCGGCGCGCCTGGGATCAGGCGCTGGGCCTTGTCCACGTACTGTCTTGTGATGCGCTCGTAGTTTGCCAGGGCGGCGCGGATGTCGGTGGGGGAGCGGGACAGTTCGCCGGCGAGAACGTAGGAGCCTACGATTGCGGCGCCGGTGCCCTGCGGGGGGGGGGGGGTGCTGTGTTAGTAGTTCGGCTTGTGCGGTTTCCCAAGGGGAATGGGAGGGGAAGACGTACAACACCTGATATCGGACTGGGACAATACGCAGCATCACCCACCAACGCTACATGCCCTTTCACCCACGTATCCATCTTCACCTGCGCAATCTGCTGCATGTAAAAGTCCTCTGCGGCACTCATTTCGCGGATGCAGCGGTCCGCCTGCCATCCAGCGTCCTTGAACTCATTTGCAAACCACGCTTGCTGCTGGTCGCGGGACCCGCTCTTGAGCAGGCGATCGATTTCGGTGAAGCGCGCGAGATCTGGATCGGTGACGGCGAGGTACGTTCTCGTTGTGCCGTGGCGGTCCGGGCGCAGGAAAAACAGGCGGCCCCGCGACGCGTTGTACCACTGAGCGTAGTTTGTGTCGCGGGCGGCGTCGCGCGGCATGGTGAAGAGCGCAGAGTACTGGCCGAGTCGGTGCAGGTAGTCGTCGTTGTTGGGGCCGTGGCCAAAGACCAGGCGGCGGGTGCGCGACATTTGGCCGTCTGCGCCGACGACGACGTGGTATTGTGTTGGGGGTAGTTTGTTCTTGAATGTCACTTGGACCTTGTCGTTGTCTTGTTCGGCGACCGAAGCAATCATCTCGTCGAAGATGTAGCGGATGTTGGCATTGTCCTTTGTGGCCTCGTACAGGAGGCGTGCCATGTCTCCGCGCAGGATTTCGTATTCGCTCGTTGCTGTGCAGAGTCAATATGTAGGTTTCTGCATAATTGGACACGAGAAACGGCATACCGCTCTGACGCTCTTCCTCGCCGCTCGCTTCGAATGTGGCTCGTCTTTGGCCGTCTCTATACACGAATTGCATGCCGACTTCAGTTGTGTGGAGCTCTTTGACCTTGCCCAACAAGCCCATTTTCTTGACGATAGGTATGCATGATGAGCGTAGGTCGATTGCTTGGCCACCGAGACGCGGTTCGGGGCTGCGTTCTATAATAGTGATTTGAGAGGTTGGAATCAAGCGACTCAGCCAGTACGCAAGGCTCGGTCCTGCGATACCAGCGCCGGATATCAAGATATCGAGGGGAGATGAAGAGGCCATGTCTGCCTAAAGAAAGGGGTTGAATAGAACGAGAGAGTTCGAGAGTCGCGATTATGAAAGAATATGTGCAGGTGCCAATTGAGACTGTCGTGATGTTTGCTGATATTAAACAGACCAGATACCCTCTGCTATATATCTACGATACCTCGGTCCTAGTCAGTGCACACTGTGCACAAACAACGTTAACCGCCTGATCACGCATCTACATATTTGTGTCGTGAATCGCATTCGCATCCAGATCGGTGGTTCTGGGCTCATCTGTAAGTTTAGAGTGACATCACTAGGCGTCCCAGCGCCGTGTTCATTGAACACCGCAGGCCGCAATTGGCTGTTTCAGAGGGCTATATCTTGTCGTCAAGCAACGTTGCAGGCTTGGTACGGAGTAGTGTTGTCTTCCGGTGCCGCTGCTATGTCTGTTGTGAAGTCTGTAGCGCGGTGTCGGGGCGTGGAGAGGCTCCGAGCTGAGACCTTGCCGCATGTGGGGGCCTTGGTGGGAGAAGCGACTGGGGTGCGGGCGAAATTTTGCCGCCGCTTCGGCCTTACAGTGTAGCTGGCGATCGAGAGGAACATGTCGCATCGGTCCATGTGTATCGTCTGTGTGGTTAGAAGGAATGCAATTTGCACAAGAGCGACTTGTGGTCCTGGGCAGTATAGATGAACAGGCTAGACTGGTTCTTTCATGTTCTATAAAATGTCTCCTAGATGTAATCATACATTACTCATAACTGCACAAGCTCAAAACGACCAAAGACTGAGATATAAGGAGAGGGACGTGTACGTATCACAGGCGACTGCAGTCAAGAAACAGAGAACAAGCAACTAAATGAACAGCTTGTCACCATGGTACTTGGCATTCTCCCTGTAGGCAGTTGACTTGGCCGCAATGTCAAGCTGGCGCTTGGGAAAGCCCTCGAAAGATTGCGCATACGTCGCAACGGAATGAGCGATGAGCTACGACGTTTTAGTACTTGTTCATTCAACGCCCAAGTCTTGGAAAGTCTTACCTTTGTGTTGACAACCCAGGCTGTAAGGTTGACATTGCCGACATCATCGCAGAGCTGGTGGTAGCACGGATCATACCAATCACCTGCCTTGCCACCAAACATTTCAGCCTCCTTGTCCGTCTTGATGCCTTCGGCACCGGTTGCAATGCCACCACCAGGGATACCGTTGCGAATAAATCCATCATAATCGCTACGGCCGTCAAAGGGGATGAAGGTGTAATTCAGGCCCTCGTCCTCGTACCACTTGATGTACAAGTCACGAAGCTCCTCTGATCCGGTGGGGTTCACGGCATTGGTAGCATTGTAGATTTGGTAGGCAAAGTTGGGACTGCCCATCATGTCGTAGTCCATGAAAAGACGAATCTTCTGATTCTCCTTCTCCGAGAGCGAGGCCACATAGTAATCAGAGCCAAGCAGGCCTTCCTCTTCACCGGCCCACCAGGCGAACCGCACGCAGTTGGAGACGTTGAACTTGGTGAGCTGGGTAGCAACTTCGAGAAGCGAGATTGTGCCTGAGCCGTCGTCGTTGATGCCAGGACCTTCAGTGACGCTGTCGCTGTGAGCGCCGAGCATGACGCAATTCTCAGGGTCACCCTCAGCTGTCTGAGCAACGATGTTGACCGTCAGGATCTGGTTGACTTCGGCATCGATGTAAGCAATGGCATCGACGTGCTTTCCCTTGGCAAGCTTCTCCAGGATAGGCTCCGCTTCTTCACCGGAAAGACCAAAGGTTGCAACGTGGTCAGGAGATGGTGTGCCCAAAGTCCCGGAAACAGCATCCTTGTCATAATTGTAAACGACGGCCGCCACAGCGCCTTTGCGACCAGCGTTCTCCGACTTTGTGCCAAACGGACACACTCCGCGCTTGATAAAGGCAATGTTGCCCGCGACCGAGTCGGGGAAGTCGGATTCCTGGCAACCCTCGTTTTCGACGTGCACGAGATCGCCATGCACAGGCTCCTTGTCCTTGGTTGCCGGGGTCAGGCCCATGGGCGAGGCGGACTTGGGCACGCTGCTTCCGATGACCAGACGCGACTCGAAGACATTGCCGGACACAGCGGGGAACGACTGGTTGGAAATGGTGTAGTAGTCGCCGAGCTCGTGAATAGTCTCGTAGATGTAGGATAGGGTGCCGAGGTGGCCTGGAAGAGTGAGTATATCAGGCATGGACAGGGCACGTGAGCACGCGTACCGGCGCTACCAATCACTCTGGTCGGGTGGTTGTACTCGGCCTCACCAAGCTTTGCAATCTCGTACAGCTTCTTCGCACGCGTCATGAGCCTGTCGCCGCTGATGAGCTCCTGGAGCTTGGCTGAGTTGACCAGCGGTTTGGTTGCGTGGGCGTGTCCAAGCAGCGCCTGGCTGCCGGACGACAGAAGCGGCGCCTGGAGCGCGGATACGCTTGTTACGGCTGCGCACAGGGCAAATGCGGATAGGAAGACCATGGTGGAGAGTGCGGAGAGGGGAGAGGTGTGGACGGCGAGGCAGCGAGGGCAGCGCGATGTTTGTTTCGAGCGGCGGGCTCAGCGTTGCTATGACGCTAACACGTGCCTACTGATACGAACCATGACGCCTATCTCCGTGCACGGCAGGGCACGTGACCTGGGAGGTGGGGCACGTGATGTATCTAGGCGGGGCACGTGACGTGTCTGGGCGGCGCCAAGCCAAGGCCGCAATAGGATGGTCGCAGGTCGTGGGCGTTTATACGCCGGCCACGGCCCCGTTCGCCAAGCAAGGGAGCAGAAACACGGCCTCTTCACATACGCGCCGCCCGAGAGACATGCCTTATATCTCTGCCTGAAGGGATACGAAGTCTCACCTCTGCCTTGTCTGTGCGCATGCAGGTCGGTAGCCAGCGCTAGCCCCCGGAATGCAAGGCACGATGATGGCTATATCCGCTCCCCAGGGCTGCACGACATGCCTACTGGCCCCGCCGGCACCCCCCAGGCCGGGGCTATGGCGATTGCACGATGCCAATGCCACGATGGCGACCCTTTCCCGCCTCGTGTCTGTATAGCGTAGATTGCAACCTGTCCGATGCTGTCCCAGCCAGGCGCGGAGGCTGGGCCCACGTCAAGGCGCAGCGGGCGAAACCTTGTTCCGGCCCCTCTGGCCCCTCTGGCCCAACACCAGCCCGCGCCGGTCCACAGCCAAGCTGTATCAAGCACCGCCAGGGACGCTCCCCGATGCTTGGTGACGTGTCAGTAGCAGACAAGCTCAGCTTGACAAAGGAAAAACATGCGGCTGGGCCAATGGCCGCGGGCAAGGGTTGACCGCAACGCATTAGGCCGCAGAAGTTCGGTGTAAAACTGATACAGCAGAGTCTCGCTGGCGCACAAAGCATCGAGGCTGTGCCCAATGCAAGCGGGCGCACGTTGGCAACACGGGCTGCTACTGGTAAACAAGGAACCAGTCGCCGCCCGAGATGACGCCGGCGCGCTTCACGTCAGCCCTCCAGTTTCACTTGGCCAGCCAGCGTTGTTTCCTTTTATCCCCTCGACCGGTTCAACAGCAGCTGGCCAGTCTGCACATCACTGCATGCCAATCCACACGCCCCGACCCGCCAACCTAAACAAACGGCTGCGGCAGCCCTGAGCACCGCTTCCAACTCCTTGGCCCATCCCATCGCCACACGACATGGCTCACAGCTCACGACCCTCGCGAGACTATCCCAGCGGCCACCGCTCCTCGCGAGACCGAGCATACAGCTCCGAGAAGCCCTCGCGCAGTGCCCCGCGCCATTCATCAGACCGTCGATCGCGGAGCAGGCGCCGCGAGTCTCTGCCGCAGTACAACCACAATGGCCACAAGGTCACAAAGGGCATCCATCCCGAGGGTGAAAGTGGCAGGTCCGGCTTCAACCTGATCAAGTTTCTCGTCATCACTGGCAGGAGTAGTAGCACGCCGTCCATGCTCGTCAACATGCTGTGGCCCATTGTTCCCATTGCCATTGCCCTGGTGAGCATTATCCGTGCACACAAGCAGAAGATCGCCCTACTGACTCCCCTGGCAGCATTTTGTGAAGCCCGAGTGGCATCTGGCCATCTTCATCACCAACTACATTGCCATGTTGCCGGCAGCCAACATGCTGGGCTTTGCTGGCCAGGAGTTTTCGCGCAAAATGCCCAACAAGTCTTTTGCCGTTGTGCTCGAGACAACCTTTGGCTCCATTGTTGAAATCATTCTGTTCATGGTTCTGCTCAAGACGTCCAAAGGCGCCTCCAACGTTCAGGTCATCAAGGCTGCCATCTTGGGTTCCATTCTGGCCAACTTGCTACTCTGCTTGGGCTCATGGTGAGCGACTACTCCAGCAGTAAATTGTTTCAACAGCTAACATTGAACTAGCTTCATCGCAGGCGGAATCAAACATGACCAGCAAGAGTTCCACGAGGCCATTTCGGAAAACGGCTCTGGTTTGATGATTGTCGCTGCCAGTACGTGAATCCTCGCCTGCTCACACGTCACAATGCTAACATGCTGTAGTGGCCCTTGTCCTGCCCGCCGTCTTCTACTCTTTCCTTCTGCAAAACCCCGACTACGACAGCAATGTCGACATCACAAAGAACACTCGCCTCATCTCTCGCGGAGTAGCCATCATTTCCATGGCCGCCTATCTCATCTACATTCTGTACCAGACCGTCTCGCACGACGGTCTGTTCCATGAAATCTACGAGGAAGACGACCGTAACGACAAGGACCGCCACAAGGAGTTGAAGAAGCCCAAACTCACCATGATCGAAGTCATTGTCGCCCTTGTCATTGCCTTGGCCTGCGTCTCGCTTGTGGCCATCTTCCTCGTCCTTCAAATCCCCTACATTGTAGAGCGTGGAGTCAGCGACGCCTTTGTTGGTCTCATTCTCATTCCCCTGGTCGAAAAGATTGCCGAGCATCTCCTCGCCATCGATGAAGCCTACGACAACCAGATCAACATGGCACTTGCCCATGTCCTCGGTGCCTCTATTCAGACCGCCCTGTTCAACGCCCCGCTCGTGGTCCTGGTTGGCTGGGGAATTGGTGTTCACATGGACTACAACTTTGCCATCTTTGACGCCGTTGCTCTGGTCCTTGCAGTCTTGGCCGTGGGCTCCTTCCTCCGTGACAAGAAGTCCAACTATCTCGAGGGTTCGCTGTGTGTCATGACCTACGTCATCATTGCCATTTGCGCATTCTATTTCCCCAACCCTGCAGGTCATGGTAATTCTGCCGGCCATGCTGCAGAGGGTAGTTCTGCGGGTGCTGCTGAAGGCGGCCACTAGCCATTCACTCTCTAGTGACACTTTCAGGCAATGTATTTGATTCCATCTGAATGCTTCAAAGCCGCAAGGCTGAAGAGCGGGGTTTTGTTCATTGGATTATTTTCCTTTGTCAGCCATAAGCGAGCGTCTGCAATACACTTTCCTTGACCGTTCATTTCCCTTCAGACTTCATCTAGCACGCCGAACATACTACATATTTTCATATAATACTGGCATTTTGATCATCTTCTGAAACAAGACTGTGACTCTGACATTGCTAAGCTGGGTGCCAGGGAGGCTGCACATTTGGTGCATCGGAACAAGATGCCCACACTATGCCTCATCCGGACTAACCAGCCCACCGAGCGCACAGGCCATCACACACACAGGCGAAATATCCACGCTCAGCAACTCTTCTTCAGCGACAACCTCACTAACCCGACAGCCACCGCCCCTTCCCACGACAACCTCTCCCCCAGCTCACACAACAAGTCGCCAAAATGGGTCGCGTCCGAACCAAGACCGTCAAGAAGTCCGCCAAGGTCATCATTGAGCGCTACTACCCCAAGCTCTCTCTGGACTTTGAGACCAACAAGAGGATCTGCGATGAGATTGCCATCATTGCGTCCAAGAGGCTGAGGAACAAGATTGCCGGATACACCACTCACTTGTACGTGTGCATGCGCTGCCGTAGGATGAATGGGTGGTAGAGAAATTGGCCGCCTCAACGCATGTGTGGTATTGCGCAGAGAAATCAATTGCGCATACCTCATTGCTATGAAGAGCCAGGCCGCTCCGTCACCTCCCACGGCATCGTCCCAACCATGTATTTACCTAGCCCTGAGGCTAACAACTTGCAGGATGAAGCGTATCCAGCGTGGTCCTGTCCGTGGTATCTCGTTCAAGCTCCAGGAAGAGGAGCGTGAGCGAAAGGACCAATACGTCCCCGAGATCTCTGCCCTCGACTTTACTCAGAACAGCGAGTCTGGCTCGCTCGACGTCGACCAGGAGACCAAGGACCTGCTCAAGAGCATGGGCGTACGTTATTCTCTGCCACTCGCAAACACGGACAGTACTAAGACTTGAATAGTTCGACAGCATCCCCACCAACGTCATCGCCGTCTCCCAGCAACAAGTTGTCGAGCGCCCTCGTCGCTTCAACGACCGCCCCGGCCGCTCGTAAACAATGCGAACGTGCGATCCGACCGTCGTCCTTCTTCCTCCCTTCTCGGTTTACTGAAAATATGGTGTCTGGGAAAGGATTTCTTCTGCCACAACTATGGCATGGGCTTATGGCTATATACGGCGGCATGATGATCAGGAGTCAATGAAACAAAAAGGTTCTCTCCCCACTAGGTGTCGCTGAATCTGAGTGTTGAAAGACACGAAGACGATGCTTGATTGCCATTTCCCCTCCCCTTATCCTTTTGCTTGACGTGATGCTGGTGTGATGCTGTGACAGGGTATTTCAGGCACGTCAAGTCGTGCTAGAGGTAAGAAATTCTCTATTTCATTGACCAAATCTCCTTCAACTATCTGCTTCCCTATTCTCAATCCGGCGACATTGCTTCTCAGCGTCTTGTGCATGCAATGCTCGGAACAGGGTTGTATTGGCCTGGGTCAAGGCCATGATCCAGTATAGCCCTTGGGTCGAACATGCACCTCAGTCCCTGTACCGCTGCTTCGGTCCTCAGCCTTGATGGCTCTTCCGCTGTCAACGCGAGTGTGTTCACCTCCAATCTCAGTACCCTGTCCACAGATATCTAATACCGCCTGATGTAAGCTGCTTGGCCTGTTTAATTGTTCGGTATTCAACGCTGTTGGACCTGTCGAATCGGTAGCGGCTATTGACATTACTTCCGTGGCCGTGTCTTTGGTAGCTGTTCTAGCAGGCTCTTCCACAGTCGTGAGAGAACTCAAAGTAAGTTTGTTGGGTGTATCTGGCGCATCGCAAGCAGAGGAATCACTCTTATGGAAGCCCCGCGAATGGAGACTTGTGGGTTTCCGTATCTTCTTGACAATGGTTGGTCCCGGTCCATTCTCCAGACTTGGGTATCGGCCATGCGTGTCTTGCGCGCGCTTTCTATGACCACCGGTCAATCGGGACCTCGGCATACGAGAATTCGAAGCAATGGGCGAAGAAGCCGGGGTGGTCTTGGTAGTAGGGATGCCCCGGCGGTGACGTCGGTTAATCCAGAGGACAGCCCCGAAGATGGAGGTTATGATAGCAACAGCGACAACCACGATACCTGCAATAGCGGAAATTGAGAGGGACATGGTGGTTTTCTATTCAAGAACTGGGGCTATCTGGGTGCATCAAGGGAGTTGAGGACGATAAGTGAGGAAAGGCCGTGGATGGGTTAGACAGACCTAATTCTAGCAGCAAGGGGAGCACTTGGAAAAGTGCGCAACGAAGCATCTGGAATACACAAACGCTTATTTACTCTGTTTCTAGGTGTGTGGATGAGATTGGTGTAACGTTGATGGTTGTAGCCGTCGGCTGGATGCATGTCACACCAATAATTGTGTCATAGGAGATGGGTGGGCATGACTGATTTTGTCGACAAAAAGCCATGATTCCGGATAGCATAATGCTGGCGGAACGTAGTAATACTGTATCAAGTACTGTGTCTGTTGTATTGTACCTTGGGGACTCTTTCACTGCATTTTTCTACGTTCGACACAGGCAACTCGGGGTTTCATCAATCGTCATCAGCTTAGTACTACTCCATGTCCTCTCAGACTGGACAGTCAGTAGCCTGGTTCACTGTAGAAATTACGGTCTTTTTTCATTGTTATTCTGTTTGATACCGCTTGGTTTCGGCCATCAGCTAAGTATCTCATATAACAGACAATTACCCGTAAGATTATGCACTGTATTTGCTACAGGACAGCAGCGCAGTAGAAGGTTATGATGATGGTGGGCCGCATACATTTATCGACGATGAAACCCGAGCATATTTCAATTTACGATGGTTGGCTAGTTTAGTTTCTGATGTCTAACACAGCGATCCAGATATGGTGGCGGTGACAATTTGACGAGCTGGTCCCGGTTTCACCCCAAGAGCAACTGGTATGCTCGCAAAATGCATTCCCCCAATTCCAGCAATATCGCCGTCATATTCTGTCCGTCGACATAAGCCGCAGGATTGCTACAATGCAGACGGCTATCGGTCAAAGGCACTGCCGTGATACAGCATGTGAAACGTTGTAGTCAATCTGGGGCAGCGGGTGATGATGAGTGTCGGGTAGAGTGAAATAGCAGTGGCGCAGGCACATGAAGCCTGGTCATGCCTTCACCTGGTGGGTGGCACAGCCTGGCACCCAAATCCCCAGCAGATGCTCGTATTGATTGTTGCGCCGCGCGCGCTGGATGACGTTTGTCCCAGGTCGGCTGGGCCACATTTTGGCCGGGGTCACGATGTCACGTGCAGCTTCAATGCTCCGCCAAGGAGACCCCTAGCGACGCTAGCTACGCGAGCGTGAATGTTTTTGCCTACCACTCTTGTTTCAACAACCCCAACCACCCCACGGCACTCAACTTGAAGCGCGAACCCCCACCCTGCGCCTTCATCGATACCCATCTATAGTTGTCATCCGCGTGACCTCTACCGACTTGCAAGTGCTCCAGTTGCCTCATTCGGTATATCAGGTTACCTGCCGCGCTTGGATCATCATGTCACCTGCCCCAATCACCCAGACCGCTGTTGCCTCACCATCGCCGCCACAACAGCAGCATCACCACACCCCAACCCGTAAGCCAATGCGACTCTGGCTAGACCCACCGTCATCTAATACAACTCGCAGCCGCCTCTATGCCCGCCTCTAAACACTTTGATGACATATTCCACGCCAAGTTCATGAACATTATCCAGGAATGGAAAAATGACCCTTCGCGTGGCCAGCTCACGCAAAAAGACCGAAAGACGTTTATCGAGACGGCCTTTGTCGAGACTGATGAGCTCTACTTTGGTCAGCGCATCATGTCTGAAATTGACATCAAGCTCCGCGCTCTGACCAAGGTCTTTTACAAGGTACTTGCTGAAGAACCCTGGTCTGAAGACTGGATTCGCGCCCCGGATGTTGAGCGCAAGCTTTCCAAATTTGAGATGCACGAGGACTCGGTGGCACTTGCGAAGAAGTACGGTTTTACCACCCCACGTGAGGCTGTCAAGGCGGCGCGCGAGGCTGGTATCAAAAACGCAGAGATTTACAAAGAGGCCCAAAAAGACGGCAAGTCGCTCAAGGACATCAAGCTCGACCGCGGCCCGTTTGACGATATCGAGATTGTCTACATTGCCGGCACCGTCTCGTCATCGGCTACCAGCAAGATTGATCGCAACAGCATCTACCCTGTCTCGGTATCCTCAGTGGCCAATGTCCTCCAAAACCACATTTGTAGGGATATGGTGCGGCCCTACTCAATGGCCGAGCGCTTTGTCAACTGCACCGACACAAGGGATCTTGACGAAATGCGGCGCTTTGCTTGCAATGTGTGCGACTTTTGCCCCCACCTCCTTGACAATGACAACGTCAGCCTCCTGGTGGTACTTTTGATTCTATCAAGATCTGACTGCTGCCGTCGTTTTGAGGCCAATGGTATCCGTATTGAGGGCTCTACTATCAGCCATCGTAAGGCCGAGTGCATGAAGAACAAAATGGGGTGGAGGTCGAGTGAGGACAAGAAGCCGTACGACAACTTTGCCCAGGAGTTCCAGACACGTGTGAAGAATGCTTGTTTTCCGGCTCCTCGAGCACAGCGCGTGGGCGGTCGAAAACCAGCCCGGACATCGTCTACCCCTGCGAATCCTCCAATCTACGTTCAGCCGCCCATGGGCTATATGGCTCCTCCCCAGATCCGCAACGACAATCTGAACACTGGCATCAACATTCCTGCTCCGCCCCCGCACAATACCTTTCCACCACCCCACGCGATCAAGAACCAGCCACCTTATCCATCGGCTCGTGGCACGGCAACAGAGCCTATGGATCTTTCTTAGTTTGATTGACAGCCTTGTACAGACGTCATTCTTTTCTTCTGGTCGTCTTACTGCATACTACGGCGTCTTTTGGCACTACTTGGCTCCCATTATCCAGAACTCAAACGGTGTTTGGTGGATGCATGGAGTTTGGTCATTACACGGTGGTTGCATGCTGCAATCGACCTTTTTGTTTTTTTATTCTTTCTTTTTCCAACCCATGTTGCTGTAAATAGTCAATTCATGCCACTCATGGCTATGCAATGTAAACACGTCATGCATATATCTCTGAGATACGATGGAAGCGGCGCTGAAGCGCGCGGGCTAGTCTGCGTTGTGTGTAATAGCAAAGTTTGTACATGTCCTAAACGCGGGAGTCGCGCCAAGGAACGCAACATTGTATGACGATGTCGTTGATACAGGCTTCCAAGCAATAAAATGCTTTTTCGCGTACCATCCCACCTTACTTGGGTCTCAGGCCAAATTAGACTGCCAAGCCAAGTGTTGATTCAGGTCGGCGCAGTGTGATAAGCTGTTGATGGAACCCTCCCACTCCCCCAAACATTCTGCAGCCATGGAGTTGACGGGCTATGAGCTCTTTGCCCTCTTTCTTTGTTCGGCCATTTGCGGGTTGCTTTTTTCCGTAAGTACGAGCCAATTCGTCTGCCTGTATTCCCGCCATTGTTTGCACGCTGACAGTCTTAGTCGGAACACGTCAGTGACCGCGAAATCACGCTCCTCATCGCCGTCTTGGTCGCAGTCGTGACCTTGCTTCTCACAAAGTTCTCGACAAGCCGAGCGCTCACCAAGTTCCTGACGGAAGATGTCGCCGACGTGCACGACAAGCAACTCACGGACCTGGCCGAAGCCCACGGTCGCCGCATCACGGCGCTGAAGCGCGAGCACGACCGCGAGCAGCTGCGCCTCACGAATAGGATCAAGGACGCCGATTTGAAGTTTGATTGCCTGTGGGGCGAGCACGAGTACATGTCTACGCTGTACCAGGAGAAAATGCGCAACAACCACGAGCACGAAGATCGCATCCAGTACCTGGAGAAGAAGCTCCAGGAATTCGGCCAATCCACACACACGGCCCGCGCCCCGTTTTCGGCGCCGCCCACCCAGATCAGCTTTCTCAGTCCGCCTCGACGACATCGGTTCAAGGACGGGTTTGGCTCGTCGGTGTTGAAAACGCCGCTGTCCAGTGTTATCGAGGTTGACGACGAATAGGCGGTTAGATGTATATGGCGAGATTGGGTACATGGGATGGTACAAAGCCTGGTTTAAGAACGCAGGTGCTGTCCTCTTTTGTACGTGTGCATCAATATGGCTGGGCTGGGCTGTGCCAGTGTCTACAGCGGAGTGGCTGCATGTAGCCGATATCCCATTCCTCCGCATAACAACTGCAAACCAACAGCGACCAACCCTGAATCTGTCATGCAAAGATCAAAAACTTACCCAGAATGCAAAACGTCATCGTGGCTTGCACAATAAATTCCAAGTACTTACAGCAACAGACCACCCGTTACATAATTTCTTACCTAGGCAGTTGCTGCTGCTTGAACCGTCGTGTAGACTCGGTCTCGGGAGATTCCGTATTACCCCTATTCCTCTAGTATATCAACTGTGATCTGTTTCGCAACGCTAGTAGGGGTACTTGGGGATATCCTATGCGCCTCAATAGTGCTTACTGTCTTTATCTGCAACTTGCCCGAGTGTGTGCAGTGTGCGTCGTGTTTGCAGCGTCACCGTCTAACCAGAGCCACTCACGCGCTTATTCTTCAACGCATTGCGACTCTGTCTTGCATATGCGCTGTCGCAAAATATCAAGTACCTACTAGTGACTGCTTAGCTTTGCGGTTAGTACTTGGAGAGCCAGGTATCAGGCCGAACAGGGGTGCTGGTCCTCCACTCCAGCCCAAGCGCGCACGAGCCGACGGAGGGGTAGGCCAGTTGCAATTTTTCCAAGCCTACGCGGATCAGGAGTTGGGCTGTTGTGCTGTACGTACGTACGTAGCAGAAAATCTTGATGCGTTGTTGCTGTTTTGCGGGGTTGGAAGCTTCCAGTGGGTTCTTTCCCATAGAGCTACTTCAGATCCGAGCGCGCATACGGTACTCTCAAAGTTCAAATCCACAAGTCAATTAAGCTTCAGAGAAATTCCAACCTGATATTGGCAGAACGGGATATTCTAGTACATACGACCATAGGTACCAGAATTCTGTGTCTCTCGTTCGCTCGGCAATACATAAGCTGGTAACCGGCAGATTAGTAGTCAGGTGGGTGACCACTGGCGAATCCCTGCTGTTGTATGTTTTTTGATTTTTTTGGTGTTGTGCATGTGTAGATGTTGCTTGGTAGGATGCGTTACTGATGCTTTAGAAGGCGTGCCTGCTCTGATTAAGTGGAGTGGGTGCGCCGCAGTGTGCTTGCCGTGGCAGTTTATCGAGAGTACTCGCAACCAAGGTGATGGACAAGTTAATTGCCACCGTCATGCTACTGCATAGAAGGTCGATAGTTGTTGTTAGATTTCTCGAGAGATGCACTTTTTGGCGTGTTAATTATGCTAGAAGCATTGATGAGGCTATGGTTTGAGCTCGGCCTTTAACGCCAAGCCAAGGTTCTTTTTTTTCATGCGGCATGTTAGGAGCAACAAAGCGCATATGCACTAGGTGTGATGGTTTGGTTAGGCTAGTGGTAGTGTTTATCCCTAGAGTGGGTTAGGTGGATGAGTGCAGGATTTGACAGACGTCATGTAGCTGCAGTGGAGATATGAGGTCAGATACAAGTATAGCAGCAATGCATGCAGTAGCGACAGACTGCGTACAGACCATACAAGCGCATACGCCCATTGGTTGAATGGAGCAGCATGTACGGACTTGGATCATTCGTAACGTGTGCAGCTTAGGCGGATTGCATTTAGCCCTGGCTTAGAAGACGGAGACACAGACTTAGCCTTGTCATTGTATGCAGGCTCAACGAGTGGGAGTGGGCGAATGCTTTTTCGGCCGTCACAGTGGGCGCACTTGCCAGGCGCGTGGCCAAGGTCGTATAAGAGCCGTGTGCCTTGGCCGTCTCTGCCTTTTCTTGGGCGAAGACATTCATTTACTTTTACTTGAAATAGCCCTAGTCCTGTAGCAAACACGACCTCGTCACCGTGGACACCATACAGCACAATTGACGCCGAGTTCCAAAGCCCAAGTCATAGCCACACGTCCACGTTAAACGATTCTGCTGGAATGAGTAGCTGCTTGCTCATCTCCCGCCCATCAAGTCGCTTGCAGACTATGCGTCGGCAGCCGATCTGCGCCAGTCGACCAATGAGCAGGTTGGGCAAATGATTGCAGCGCACGACGCCATTGACGCCGTCACGTGGGTATGAGAAGGTCTAATTGGGATATCCAAGCCCAAAGCTAGCATGACACTTTGTATTGTGCAAAGCATTCAGACAAGCTGGGTGCAGACGTGACCAAAGGGTTCATAATAGGAGGTACATGGGCAGGCGGCAATTTAGCAGCAGTGAGCGAAGAAACACTGGTGTGTAAGCGTACAGAAGCTAACATGGCCTAGACAACTATCAGCCGGAGCCAAAGCCGCCGCTGATGAGCCCTTTGATTTGGCAGAGACACCAGGGGCAGCCTACGACATATATGCAGGCAACGGGGTAGGCATGGCTGCTTGGACGTTGGGAGGCGAAACTAGATGGGCTGACTGTGGCCAGGGGGGGCCGAGTGCATGTTGGACGGGGGGCTCGCTTAGGCGGCGGTTGGGTTGCAGGGCTCTTGGTTAGGCGACCTGTCAGCGTTCCGTCATGCTTAGCGGCCGCTTGCTTCTTTCCACCACCAGACATTCCATAAGAGACGGGCTGCCAGACGCACCACAAGGCCGCCGGTCGCGCAACGCGGCCAACCAGTGCCATGATGCAGAAGCCGCCGCCGCCGTCAAGCCCCGTGGCCAGGGCCAGCACAAACTCGCCACGCGCCGAGCGAGCGACAACAAAAAGCGACGCGAAGCTCCTTTCACTGCCGGCCAAACGCCACTCGCTGCATGCGCCCTCGTCGACGACCAACACGCCGCCGCAGTCGCCCGGCCTCAGCCCCGCCCCGCCCCGCCGCGCGCCCTCTACGCCCAACTTCAGACCCGCCAACACGGCCATCCCCCGCAGCCCCAGCGTGGCCAGCCTGCGCTCGTCAACCCCAGGCCTGGCGAGGAAGTCGTCGACGGCGTCCCTTCGCGGCGACCCCCCTCGCCCAGGCACGTCCGTGTCGCGCCGCGCCTCGTTCAACCCCAACATGCAGGCCCCCACGCCCAAGAGCCCGCTGGTCCCCTCGCCCCACGACGAGAAGCCGCCGCTGCGTGCGTGCGACGTCGCCGCCGAGTACCTCAAAAAGGACCTGGCCCGCCATGAGAGCGCCGCCGCCGCCCCCCGTGCCGGCACGGTTGTGCTCATCCACGACCAATGCTACGGCCACCGCTTCTCGCGGCCCAAGACGGCCAAGAGCACCCTCAGCCTCATCATGGAGCGTCCCGAGCGCATCCTCGCCAGCGTCCTGGGCATATCCGCTGCCTACGTCTGCCTGGGAGAGCGACACGCCGACGGCAGCCACCCCCCGCACCCGCACCACGCGCCCCCTGACCGCATCCCCTTCCACATCCGCAAGACGTCGCGCGCCGTCGACATCACCTCGCCAGTCGTCACAAACGTACACGGCACCAAGTGGATGGCCGAGCTCAAGTCGTTGTGCGACAATGCCGAGAGCAAGCTGGCCTCGTCGGGCAAGGAACTGGCCAGGGACGCGCCTGCAGTGCCCGGACAGGCGTCCAAGAAGGAACTGCACGCTGGCGACCTCTACCTCTGCCCCGAATCACTCAATGCCTTTCAGGGTGCGCTCGGGGGTGTCTTGGACGCCGTCGACGCCGTCTTCCACGGAACCAGCACGGGCGAGGGGCCTTCACGAGCCTTTGTCTGCATCCGTCCGCCCGGCCACCATTGCTCTGCCGACTTCCCTTCTGGCTTCTGCTGGCTGAACAACGTCCACGTTGGCATTGAGCACGCCATCATGACGCACAACCTTACCCACGCTGCCATCATCGACTTTGATCTGCACCACGGAGACGGCTCACAAGCTATTGCTTGGGCGCGGAACAAAAGGGTCCAGAACATGTCCAAGAACACACCCAACTCGAAGAAGACATCCATTGGCTACTTTAGCTTGCACGACATCAACTCGTATCCCTGTGAAGATGGCGACGACGACAAAGTCCAGGCGGCTAGCCTGTGCATCGACAATGCGCACGGCCAGTCCATCTGGAATGTGCATTTGCAGCCGTGGAAGACGACGGAGCAATTCTGGGCCATATACGAAGAGAAATACATGGTCCTGCTGCAGAAGACGCGGCAATATCTCAGACACCATACCAACCGTCTCCGCACTTCGCCCAACCACCCCACGCCCAAGGCAGCCATCTTTCTGTCTGCCGGCTTCGATGCAAGCGAGTGGGAGACGGCGGGCATGCAGCGTCACTCTGTCAACGTGCCCACCGAGTTTTATGCCCGATTCACCCGTGATGTTGTCCGCTTGGCCGAGGAAGAGGGCACGTCTGTCCAAGGCCGCGTCATTTCCGTCTTAGAAGGTGGCTATAGCGACCGAGCTCTCACGAGCGGAGTCATGAGCCATCTCAGCGGTCTTGTAGATGGGCAGGTTTGGAGTGATGCAAAGTCGCCGGCAGGCCTTGAATCCTCCATGCGTCAACGACTCAGTGCGCTGAGCGTCGAGGATCAAGATGTTCTGGTGCAGTCCGTCGAGACCGAAACGACGCCTCTCAGCTATGATCCCTTTTGGTGGCACTCAACGCACTTATCAGAATTGGAGAATCTTGTCAATCCTCCACCTGCACACGCCCCAAGGAAGCCGCCGTCTGGACCTAGCGCTCACTTCTCATCGCCAACACAGTCTTATGTGGCCAAGGTTGTTGATCCCAGCAAGATCAACCGCGGCCTTACTGCCAAGTACGCGTCTAGCCCATCAAGAGCACCTACACCTCCTCCGCCAGAGGTTGACTGGGCTACTGCCGCTCATGCTCTGAGTGATCTATTGATTCCTGCGGATCGACAGACGCGTAGTTTGAAGCCAGAAGATTTGATGGAGGTCAAAGCAAAGAAAGAGAAGCCAGCCCCGCCAGCATTGACTTCGGTGCATGTGGACAGGTCCGGACGACAATTGCGTGGGCGCAAAGCTGCACCTTCATATGTCGATCCCAGCTCTGAGGAGGAAAAGTCGCTTGGCAAGGAGTCTCGGGCGAACAGACGGCAAACCATTGCCGACTTTGGTCCAGCCAGCTCAGACGCTCCACCCGTTCCATCGACCTCACGTCGCATGAGTATCGCTTCAAGTGTGTCTTCAATAGGCGATGGCAGAAGTTTAAGTCGTGAGTCCAGGGCAGCAGGCAGAAGGAATGGCGGGGCCTCAGAAGCACCCGTCAATGGAGCTGGCATGAAAAAAGCACGTGGCCAGACTGCTGCAGCTGCAGCTCGGGCACCTCAGCGTCCTGCTGCGCCGCGGGCTCCGTCGAACAACTTGAGCAAGACGGGGGCACCCAAAGGCAAGGAGAATGAGGATGTAGATGCGCTCACATCTGGCCTGAAACGCATTACATTAAAGCTGCCTTCGAAAGAGGAGCATGATGCTCGTGAAGGAGAGGCCGCAGAGGCGCCAAAGAAGACGGCAGCTCGAAAAGCACCAGCCGCGCGTGGTCCTGCTTCCAAACCGGCAGCAAAGGCATCTGCTACTGCTAAAAAGGGCGCTGGACGAGGGGCCAAATCCTCCAAGCCAACCTCACCGCAGGAATCCAAGGCATCTTCTCCCGTGCCCGAGGCTCCACACATGCAGGCTGCTGCTACGGCGCCTCTTCAGCAACCGCAACCGATGCTGGGTGAGTCCATGTCGGGACTTCCAGCAAGCGCCATGGGACAGGCGACCGAAGGAGCATTGCTAGACGGGGGTGGTGGGGTGGACCGACGCACTTCGAGTGGTGGTGGCATCATGCAGCCACCAACTGAGCTGCACGACATGGTCATGACGCCCGAGCAACTTCGACAGCAGCTGCCAATGCCATTGTTTGTGACGGTTACGGAGCCGTTGACGAATGTTTCGCCGCCTCCTCGGGCGGATACGCCGCCACCGCCGCCACCGTCGAGCATGCCTCAGTTTGTCAACTACACGGCGGAAAGCTTTGGCACAGGACCAACGTTTGCCATTTCAGCAAACGGGTGTGACGCGCAAGCATCGGCGACGCTGCAGTGGGTGGCGAATACACATGCCGAGACTACGCAGATGGGTGGGATTCCGCCCATGTCGCCGCCAAGTAAGCGAGGAGATCTTCCAATGTTCACGGCGCATGGCACGATACCGTTTGCAGGGGAGTCTGCTACTGGCACTGAGGTCAAACGGGAAGAGTAGAGCAAGGCCAGGTGGAGTGGATTGGGGGTGGGGTGTTTTACTTTGGTTGTTTGTGGCATTTCTTCTGGCATAGAGCGATTGTAATGTGGAGAGGTTATTATGTAGGTGGGTGGGCCTGTCAGCATCTTGTGAGGGGGAGAGCGGATGGGCGTTTGGTGGCAAATAAGAGGGCGTTTTGGAGGTGTGCAAGACGTGGCTATGGGGCTTTGAAGGCTTAGCATGGAGGTTGCAAAGACGATGGTGGATTGCTTGTGCGCACGTAGGAGTAGAAGATACCCAAGTGTGGCCATGGCGCGGTTTAGCTGCGCACATGGTGCCATTTTCTCCTGTAGCAATAGCCGGCTTTTTGTTATTTGTTCTTGATGGCTCCAATACTCTTGTGCCTCTCTAATTACGAGGGATAACCGCGGTACACGCTCGCATGGGCACAGCAAAAGGAGCCAAACACGACGCCACACATGGTTGGGCCCCCTTGGCCTTCCCCGCCCTCGGCCCAGCACCCCAAACACGCTGCCTAAGCGCCCGCCCAACCCATGTATTCTGGTGGCGATGCCCTCCTCTCTCTCCTCCTCTCTCGCAGTATCGCTATGTATGTGCACACATGGGAAACTCGGGCAGCAGCTCAGGGTAATGGGCCTGCATCCAACCGCAGCCAGGGTTGGCAACGAGAGCCAATGATGCAGGCAAAAAGGCCATGATGCGGGGAACAAGCGTGGTTGGGGGGTGGGACGCGGCACACACATACAACCACCCCCATGGCCTCTAGCGTACGTGTGTGACGTACGTTTGGGCGGTGCGTGAGCATGTGCATGTATGTGCATGAGGGTGCGACAGTGCAAAAGCTCTCCCATGTGTCTTCTTTTCCCTTGGCTATGGCTTGCCTTGATGACGTTTGGTTGGCTGCCGCTTTTTCTGGGCCCCCGACTCAGGCAAGCGAGCATAGCCTGAGGGTGTTTGGGACGTCGCTTCCTTCTTTTCTTCTTCTTGTTTATTACGAGCACGCTACCTTTTCTTTCTCTTCCTCTCTCTCTCTCTCTCTCCATCTCCATCTCCATCTCTTCCTCTCCATCGTTGTACACTGTGCTCTCCAATACACGTGTCCTCTTCTTGCTCTGCTGCCAGCCGCCTCAGGACACTCCAAAGGACAAGCCCTAGTCGTGCCAAGTACGTACGTCACTGACAGACAGCTCCCGCCCACCATGGCCTCGTCCCAACCCCCCAGCAACGGCTCTAGCCGCAGCAGCATGAATCCCTTTGCCAAGCGAGACGAGCATTCCTCGCAGGCCATTCTTCTCTACAAAATCACCACGTCCCTCAGCTACGTGCTTCTCGTCGTCACTACCTTCTACTACACGTTCCACGCCCCCAAAGGCCACGGCAACCACCGCTTCTGGCACAACAATCCCCCCACGCCATTTGCCCAGAGCAGCCTCTTCACCTCGATATACTGGCTCATCCTCTTCACCGCCCAGCTGCTCTACGCCTACGCCCTGTATACCAGCGATGCCGTGTACGTGACGTCGGCGGCCAACATTGGCTCTCATTTCATCGCAAACAATCTGCTCTTGTTCGGCTTTGTCAACTTGTTTGTGCGCAGCCACTTTTGGCTTGCAGAGGTGCTGCTCGTCATCAACTTTTTCAACCTCTCGTTTGCCTACTTTCGCCATAGCACTAGCCCCAGGACCATTCATATTGGCACCGTCAGCGGCCCGCTTGCCTGGAACTTTGTCGCCCTCTACTGGGTCGGCGCCGTCGCCGTGCATACCAACCATGAGGCTGCGCGCATCCTCGCCAATATCTTCATCTGGGGCTGGCTGGCATATGGCATGTTTTTCCTGGTGGCGTACAAGGATTACACCATGGGCTTTGCCTTGTCGCTTTTGTCGTTTTGTAAGTCTTGCTCACACCCGCAACAAGTCATTTCCAGAGTCTTGAAACCGAGAAAACTCTCCCACATTACTAACAATGTGATTCTAGCAACCGGAGTAGGTCAGTTCCTTACGCGTCCTCACATCCTGCAATTGCAGTGGATCTTTGCCTTTTCCATTGGCGGTCTCTTGTTTGTGCTCAGTCTGGCCGTGGCCATGCCAGGCTTGCTGGGTCGCGATCCTTTCCCACGCGGCCAGATTGTCAGTGAAGAGAGGGAGAGGGCGCCATTGCTGGCTGATGATTGAGCGGCCTTGAAAAAGTCACTTGGTGGCTGCCATGTATACATGGCCTTCGACAGTCCTTTACCTTCAGACAGACATGTATCAGAGATGGTGGTTTGGACTGCACAGAGCTAGCTGTGTCGGCTGACAAACGAACAAAAGGGGCAACCAAGCATACTCTGAACATGACATTTTTTTTTTACAAATAATCACATGTCAGCTCTAGCGTCTGTACATGATTACAACATCTACAAATCTCCATGGCAAAAGTCTTCAGAGCAACAAGTCTTGATTTCCATCCGTCATTCCTGGACTCACCACCATGTGCTGCGGCTCATTCTGGTTAACCACCCACCCGCCTCCCGTCCCTCCAACTGGATCTGCCGAGATGGGGCTTCCACCAAACGTGCTCTGTCTCCCCACACTGGCAAAATACATGTCCACGTCGCTCACAGCACTCGCCATGCCATTGCCGTTGCCATTGCCATTCGTCGGGCTCAACATCCCATTGCCGTTGGTGCCACCTTCAAACTTGGCCCGCTCCGCCGCCGACCGATCCCGCGCTTGCTGCGCCGCCTTGACCGTCGGAAGCTCGTCCTTGCGCAGCGCCGGCGAGTCCTGCAGTTTCCTAGGCCGAGCGCTGCGAAACACTTGGTTGACAGGCTTCAGGTACACAGTCGCCAGCGTCCCCACATTCAGACACATTTCCTCGAGCGTCCCCGGGTCCAGCTTCTCCGACTCTTCGGCCGTAATCGGAGGCTTCTCGCCCATGACCACCTTCTTGGCTTCTTCGGGTGCCGACGAAAGAAGCCGCCAGTACATGTACCCTCGGTCGCGCAGGTCGGGATTGTCCGTTTCTTCCGTCGCCCACTTGAGCACCTTTGGCACAATGGCCGATCCGCGAGTCGGTCTTTGGATGAACAGCTTGACTGTGGCCGTGAGGAGCGCCAGCTGCACCTCGTGTGTTTCTTCCTGGAATGTGTCTAAAAAGTCCTCCAGGAGCACATCCGAATCCTCGATTCGGTCTGCATATTCACCAATGACCCAGATCATGGCTGCTTTTGCCTCTGGCTCGTCAAGCGAGTCGAGGTTTTCGCATAGCGTCGAGATGATGGATTCGTATTGGTTGGGGTATTTGCGGAAAATGTTGCGTATAACTACCGTCGCCTCTTGCACAATGTACGATACTTTGGTACTGACGAGCGAGAGAAGGGTGCTGATGCACAGCTGTGCCGCTGGTGCAATCTTGATGGCCAGCTTGCCGATTGCGCGCACCGATTTGCGAACAAAGTCAACGTCAATCTCAGTCGCATATCTAGTCATTGTTAGCCGATTCAACAAAGGCAACTTTCAGTCACCAAGACTCACTCTGCAAGCTCAGTCAGCACCTCCTTGATGTTGCGCTCAGTGGCAAGCATAAAAATGAGTTCAAGCTTGGTAACCTTGACGTAGATTGGGTCGTTGTATTTACAGAAGAAGACGCGGATATCATTTCGCAGAACCTCGGGTCGCCGTTGCAGGATAAGGAGCGCATTACGAAGGGCCAAGTACTGAATCTCTGGGCCCTTTGAGAGCAGAGTGACGAGGGGCGGGGAAAGCTTGTTGCATAAAGAAGTAATGACCTTTTGGTCGGATATATAGTTCATTAGGTAAAGGATAACGCGAATGCAGGTAAGAACAACCGCCGAGTTGGAATGCGAAAGACGCGGCGATATGCGCTCGGCAAGGAATGCGGCTTCGCTCGTGTCCTGGGGGACATAGTTCATCATGGCCTCGAGAATGTATGTTTGGCCCCACTCTGAGCAGTCTGGCAAGATGGAGACAATCTTGGAGGCGCTCGCATAGTCGATGGTGAGTTTGATATTCTCGCTTCGTTCCCAAATGTCCATGAGACTGGCGAGGGCGCTGGATACAACAGTGGGGTTCTCGTCTCTCAGCATGCCGTTCAGCCTGTCGATGAGGTCCGACTGCTCGACCAAGTGCCGGTCATGATCGTAGAGCTTTGCGACGCAAAAGGCGGCCGTCTTGCGGACATACGGGTCGGCGTCTTTGAGCAGGTTCTTGAGGTGGGGAACGGTGGCTTCGACAAACTCGCGGACGTGGACGTAGGACATGGTGCGCAGTGCAAGGGCGCGTACGAGGGGGTTGTTGTCGTTCATGTCTTCCTGGATAATGGGCAGTGCTTTGAGGGCAATGTCAGGTTTTATCCTGGCATAGTTGACCAAGTACAAAAAGCACCTGGGCCGTCAGCATGGCGAGGGCGTTGCAGGCGGATGGCTACGCACATCTTCTTGATTTCCAGACTGGGTATGTGCATGCATCCAACAATGTCCGGGAACAGGGCGACCATGTCGTTGTTGCTCATGGTCATGTTTGCGACAATCTTCTTGAGGGCCGTCTTCTTGGCCGAGAAGTTCTTGTCCTTCTTGCCGCCGCTGTTGAGCTCGAGGCGGAGTTCGGCGACCTTGCCCTGTGGAGAGCGCATGGCATGTAAGCGAGAGTGATCGAGGGCGTACGGGAGAAACATGATCATGGCCATGGACAGTCATGATACGGGCGGGGGGGCCGCGAGACGGATAGCAGGAACACATGGACGTACCCTCGCGAAGAGCTTCGCATCTTGGCCGCCCTGGCTCATGGCGGGCTAGCTAATGGCGGTGCTGGCCGTCGGTGGCACAATCAAGATAATGTCTCCGTCGCCAGCTGGCGCCTGCCCCCGTGCCGGGCAAACGAGGGAGCGGTGCGGGGTTGCGTGTGGCTGATTCGCTCGTCTATCGGCCCTGGATGGCGGCGCGCATGTCGGAGGGGGATGAGGACAGGATTCTTGCGCGGGACAAGAGAAAGGAGAGGGAGAGGGTGAATGGCACCCGGCGACGCGGCCAGTGGGAACTTTTGGCGTTGTCGGGGGCGGGCGGTCAGTACGGACGAGGGGACGTGCATCCGCCAAGCCCCGCCGCAGTGGAGCTCTGCCTAGCATTAGCATGTCGTTCCTCTTTCTCCACTGGCGGCGCGTTCCGCAGACACGACACTGACCTCCACCACCACCACCGCCGCCGCCACCGCCACAGCTCAGACTTAGCAACAAAGCAGAGAAGGAGAATAAACAGGCCGCCAGTCCAATACTCCCGCAGACAATGGCCGCCGTTCCGCCCCCGCCCCCGCAATGGGTCCTCGACCTCAACTCGACGCCCGCATCCAGGCCCAAGAATGCCTCGCTCGCAGACCCCCCCGGCTACACGGCCTCGCTCACCAAGAAGGAGCGCTCCCAGGCCTCCAAGAACCAGCGCGTGCCCCCGACGGCCGAGGAAATGGACACGCTCAAGATGAAGAAGGCGTGGGAAGTCGCCATTGCCCCCGCCAAGCAGCTGCCTATGAACGCCTTCGGTACGCCATTGTGCACCCCCAGACACGCCGTCGCCCGACGCGGCTAACCAGCGCAACAGGAATGTACATGACGGGCAACACGCTCCAGATCTTCTCCGTCTTCATGGTCTTCACCCTCTTCAAGACGCCCGTTTTGGCCGTCCTCGGCCTCCAACGCACCTTTGCTCCCTTCGAAACCCCCGGCACCGCCGGCCGCCTGCTCGGCGTCAAGCTCGTCTACATTGCCTGCAACCTGCTCATGTTGGCACTGGGTATCTGGAAGGTCAATGCAATGGGTCTATTGCCAACAACACGGTCAGATTGGCTGGCATGGGAGAGCGAAAGGGACTGGTCAGAAAGAGCAGTGCCTCAAGAGTGGCTGTAGGAATATACATACGACTGAATGCATGCTGAGAATACACAAATATTCATGCGCCCTTGGAACGCTACGCTCACGCTTTCAAAGATATTCGACCTTGTTGCGCGTCATCTTCCTTTTTCGTCTTTCGACAATACTGCTAAACTACAGCCTAATTACCAACATAAGCACCAACTTCGAGTTTTCTGGAAACCGCTAGGAAAGCACGCTATCTAGGAGAACCGACCACGAGGAATCGACTAACAGCACTTTTAACACCTGCAGCTAAGGCGCTAGCGCGCAGTAGGGAGAAGAAGGAGGCCTTCCTTCGTTATCTCACGCCTGTGAGAATTTTCTCACAGAGCTTGGGCTCTAATGCCAAGACTAGAGGGGCCAAGTAGGAACGC